TATACAAACCGAGCCAACAATCTTGCAATCAACTTCTAGTTCTACAGCACCAATTCTATCAAGTCTTAGAGCCAATACTGAGCCTCAAAGCATAGTGTCTGAGTCTGATTTCATCTCTGCGGCTTCGGAAACTCAGGTAGCACACCAGTCCAAGTCTCAGGAGGCTTTGGCATCAACTACCCTGTCATTGACTTCACAAATCGGAACGCAAAGCTATCCTCTGATTACAGGATCATCAGAGCTCACAACACCTGAGACTGGGCCTACAAGCTCTGCGCAAGTCCAGATCTCTGTACCGGCCTTGTCTTCAGTCGTTCCATCCGAGCTTGCAACCATTGAAGCACAAGCATCTGCTTCTGGTAGTGTTAGTCCCCCGACTGAGCCAACGATGGGGGCAATTACCTCGCAATCATCATCATTGGCCCCGTCACTTCCTATTATTTCTAGAAGCGTTTCCGCACGCTACTGGAACACTTCCAGGACTACCACCGCCACAACTCTCCTCAACTTTGAAAGTGAGATACCGATTCCTAAAACACTTTCCGAGGAACCTCCACTCGCCTCGACACTGGTGATCGAGAGTGTGATCACTTACCCAGTGTCACATTTCTCTCTGGCCGGTGTTGAAACTAGTTTCGCTACTCCATTGTACCCAGCTGGCGAGATAGCGAGCCGCACGATCGTCTCGTTACCAACCTTCCAAACTCCATCCACAGCATCCCTCGCGACAGAGACTTCACTCGTCGTGCGGTTAGAGACGGAAACCTCGCCAAATTTGAGGACCCTTGCCTCGGGACCATCATTCATACCCACGACTTATCCAGCCCTCCTGGTATCCCCGACAGCATCTGCCTCTGAATTACAGTCCCAAATCGTTCATCCATCCAGATCGATTTCTCTAAGCGCTGCTAGTTCAGAAAACTTGGGTATGGTAGTCGAGCAGTCGAGATCTCTTCTCACATCCTCTTTATCTACCACTTCAGACATAGCGAATTCTGTGAGGTCGATTTCTCCCACGTTACCCATAGGAGTTATAGTTCCTCCCCTAATCACAACGCCTTTCGAAGCATCCTTCACCCACATATCCCCATCTGAAAACCTCGTCAATACGCAGTCTTCGACTGCGGAATCGAGCCTCTCAATCCTTCAGCCAGAGAGCGCAATGGGACACGGCACACAGATTTCTCCTTCCCGACTAGAAAGTTCCACGATTGCATCTGCTGTCATAGAAAGCGAGCATGTCGAGCAATTTTTAACAGAGATTCCCTCCTCAAGTCACAGCCCGGCCTTCAGCGGCCCAAATCTTGAAAGGCGTAGCTCTGTAACGGAGACCTCATTGACCCTCGCCCGCCCGTCAAACAGCGCACAGGCAAAACCTTCTTCAATTGTTCTTCTAGAAATTTCAGCCATCGCGACCACCCCGCAGCCAAATGTATTCCATGCTCGAACGCTAAGTCCTTCCAGCACGAGATATGGAAACCTTTCCATCACGTTTGGCGTGGTTCGTGCCTCTAGTTCATCCTTGGCCTTCGGGAGACCAGAAACAGAAAATCTTCCTTTGGCCTCCTCGACAACAGTCAATGAACTTGGAAATCATTCTGTAAGCTTAGAGATATCCATAGCAGTTCCGACAGAGCCAGGACTACCTTTGACTGCAACATCACCCACGCATGCTTTCGAAAGCTTGCTATCAGGCAGGCTTGGATTGTCATCCGAAATATCCTTCGCAAGTCCTCGGGCATCTGAAATTGTATCTCACTCCTCAATCCTGACAAGCCCTGGAGCAATCAACCATTTGCACAGAACAACCACGGAAGCTGAGACTATCAACCTCATTCCAAGCCACACCGAAAGTCTCCAAATCATCACTCATATCCTTGTCCCGTCGACGTCGATCTCGACCCATGTCGAGAGTCCCCTGGCATCACAAGCCTTGGAGCGATCTTCTGTGGAGCTGGTTATTACGTCTGCAATTGTTTCCAGCACCGGAATTCTAGCTTCTGGCTCTCCAGAACCGTTTTCTCGGACACCTCCTACTATCACTACCCCAGCGGGTCTTCAATCAGAAGCATCCGCTGCTCCTGCCCCAACACGATTATCGGCTGCCATCACGGAACCACATTCTACAATGGCCACAACTACCACTGGTCATGGTCTCTTCAGTACCCTGCCAAGATGGTACAATGCCACCCGGCATATTCAGTCCAGTACCACATCAAAAGCTCCTCTCATCCCAGCCTCAATCATCACGGAGCTTGTTCCTCCACCTATTGAGGAAACCACTACTGCTACATCTACCACCGCATTAGTTGAGCAACCCTTAGTCTCAACTTCGGTTCCAGCTCGTATTTCTTCTATTGAACTACTAAATGCTACGCATGTTCACAGTGTGCCTCTCCCACATCTCTTGCCAACTTCTTCGGCACCAAGAACTGCGTTGATCACTCCCTCTCCTACAAGGCCTTCTGGACTGTGGACAACGTCAACCATCTACACGACGGTGGAGTATACCATCACGGAATGTCCATCAAGCATCCTCAATTGCCCAATTGGAAGCAAGACATCCCAAATTGTATCTCTTTCCATAACTGTCTACCCCGTTACCCCTCCTCCTCCAGTGGCCTGGACAACTTCAACAGTGTACACAGCCATCACGTATACCATTACCTCATGTCCTGTAGAAGTCACTAATTGCCCTCTCGGCAAAACATCTACAGCATCTATACCTGTTTACACCACAAGCTACCCTCCATCAAGCCAGCCTCCTTCCCTTCCACCAGCAGAATCACAACCCCCTGTGCAACCTCCTCCAGATTCACCAGCTATGAATACTCCTGCACAATCTCAAGAAGCGCAACTACAACCCTCGGTGGAACCTCAATCTGCAGAAACTCCATCCTCTGTTGAGTCATGTGTTGCCACACAATCCTCGCAATCAACCGAAATTATTGGTATCCTTGTCACAATAATCGTGGATATAATTGTTGAAATTACCATCGAAGATGGCTTCACAATAACTACCTACATCACAGAGACTTTCTACAGTGATACTACAGAGCTGTGGAACACTGCAACACTTGGACAACCTTGCTATCCATGTCAAATGTCGTCTGCAAACTACTCTTGCCCATCTACAGGAGTCACCATCACACGGACGTTGTGCAGAAGCAGTCCTGGTATTGCACCATCACCATACACTCCACCTGTTGTCCACACTTGCGCTTCTTGCTCTGGAATTACCCTCACATCTGGTTTCCAGCCGCCGATCTACACAAATATTGAAGGATCACCATGGTCTTCCCAATCGGCTGCTAACCACACATCCAGGGAAAGCTCTTTTTACAACAGCTCCTCTGTGCATTACTACAACTCTACAATGCATAACTCTACATCAGGGAATACTTCATCTCATAGTTCTGTACTTCTCACCACAATCTCTCAAATCGAGATGACCCAAAGCGTCGCATCTCACAACTTTGAACACCCAACTGCGACGCCTCAACAAGCTGCATCGCAACAACCTACTTCTCAGCAGCTCGCTCTTGAAACATCCACCCTCCAAGAGATAGCACAGCAAGACTCAATACCTGGACTCATCAAAGAGAAAGTTGCAGATCAAGAACAACCATCAACGCCCGAGGAAGCGGTGGACCCGAACAGCCAAATCTCTCAGGTTCCGCCACCAATACACCCATTCCCAGTCGTCCAGCCAAAGATCACTTCTGAAGGTCTAGCCGTCCTATGCACCAGTTTGGTGTTCATGCTCTCCATCTTGTTGGGAGTATTGTTTGTGCTATAATGATCTATTATGGGCCATGTAGATTTTTGTCATTTTTATCGCGTACTGTACATTTGCTTTTTATTTGTTATCTTACATACATATATACTTATATATGTAGATAGCGGCCGGATATATTTAAAACCCTGCTGCTAAGTGTTTATTCTATATAGCTTGGATATGCTTTGTATTGGAGAGGATTCTGTTGGACATATTTCATGATGATATTGTACGAGCAAGATAAGCTCGAAGTAGTTAATTTTCTTTTGTCTCTAGAAGCTGCAACTTATGTAGCAATAGTATATAAAAGACTTCAACCAATTGTGTTCTGGTTTCATTCAATCGTGAGTGATCAACGTGAAATTAGTAATGAATGGACCAAAGGCCAGCTCGCTAGCAAGCCTACAGAAAACCCTATTTCAGCGATCGTGGCTAGGAGACTTCATGCCTGAGGGGCCGCCCGACTTTTGACCCCGCCCAATGTCTCACTTACACTTGGAATGTGTAATGTTAACAATTTTGCCCTGCCTTCCATCACAAATCGTAGAAGTACCAAAGCAAATTCTTGGCCATTAGACGCGCCTACGGTGAAGAGATAATATTTTCCCGCTTTTGTGCATACAGAGTAGCATCGTCGTGAAAGCTATAAGTTGGGAAATGAGATAGTATTGTTCCAAAGGTTGTCAGACAATATAAGTAGACGAAGTTCCCAGTGCGAAGTAAGATCTGAGGGACAAAGTGGCAAGAACAATGTGAGATTCCTTCTATCGCAGAAACCGCTCTTCTCTTTCAATTGCTACGGTAGCACTGACTCCCACAGGCTTCGACGATTTGAACGAGCTTGAGAAGGGAAACGAGTTCTCTTCTACGAAGACGATTTTTGTTCCTATACCTAGATCTATAGGCTCTGGAAGGCTACCAAGACATCATCCAACCCGGTCTCAGGAGCGCTTCTCATGTTCTTACAAAGGCGATACTGTGTCAAAGGCCTGGGAACGAGATCAAAAGGCTGAAGAGAGATGGATGGCAAAAACGTTGCAGAAAGCCAGCTGAGCTGCCTGATGCTACATTGGGAAAGAGGATGGACTTTGGAGCCGAGCAAACAGGTTGGATGTTTCTCGGCAGGGTTGGACATTGCGAAGGAATTCCAAGGGATTTCAAGTACTACTCGATACCAGCATGGTATAATGAAAATCACTGGAACAATTATGCGTTGGGACAAGCCGATACAATTCATGAAAGCTCCTAGGCTAGTACGACCATTCATTAAAGCTTGATACTCTTGACCAAACCAGGCTTAATACCAGTCTTCTCGCCACCATAGCCTCCTCTCTCCTCGCCACCCTTATACACAGCTCTCGTGCTTGCCAACTTCTTCTTTTTCTCCTCGAACTTCTTCCTCTTCTTGACTCTAGGATTTCTGACATCCTTCTTCCTCTTTGGTGCCAGACCCTTGTTCTTCTCGATCACGTAGCCGATAGCACGCTTTCCATCTTCGTCGACCTCTCCCTCGACGACACGGACCATAGCGTTCTCTGCCTTAGCCCTCTTGATCGCGTCCATCTTCTCAGCCTTCTCAGCCTTCTTCTGCTTCGATGTCCTTGCAACCATATCATAATACTCGTCGCCCTCCTCTCTGATTTGTTCCGCGACTTCGTCTTCTCCGCTATCGCTTTCGCCACCCAAAGCAGCTCCACCACGACCATATGCGTCCATCTTCTTGCCTCGTGCTTCAGCCTCGGCATTTAGTCGAGCCTGACGATCACGCAACCTCTCTCTGTGCGGCAGATCAGTGTCACCACCAGCATCTCGGCCAGCATCAGCACGCTTGTTGGCTTTCTGCGCGATTTGGGAAGTGTAGAATCGTAAGCTCTTCTTCCTCTGAGATTTCTCTGCGGCAGCTCGTGCATCCATTGTCTCTTCCTCACCAAAATCAGACTCATCATCTGCTTCGACGATTTGTTTAGCTTTCTTGCTGGACTTTCGCGATTTAGGAATCAGATTAGACAGGTCTGCAAGCTCCTCTTCGGCATCTGCCATTTGTTTGGCGCGAAGAGATGCTGCTTTCTTGACTTCTGCTTGGCGAACCCTCTCTTTCTTAGATTTCTTAGAGATTGTTAGCTCCAAGGTACCATTTGTTTGTAGAAAAGCTAGTTCTTCTTCGCTTGGAATCTCCGCCTCGATGTGGTGGATGCTCGGCCCCTTCAGAGACTTTACTTTCGACCAAAGTTGTCTGCATTGTAATAAGCTTTCCATGACTGGATGGTCTCGTAGTTCTGCTGGATCCAGAGGTCGAGCTTGTTCCGTATTACCTTTCGCTGGAGACGTCAGGATAGCAAAATACATCGTCAGTGAAGCGACATATGCTGCCAATGCTCTGCTCTTGGTAACCAAAAGTAATGCTTGTCCTGATGACTTTGACAATTCCAAATCGGCCTGTTCTTGCAATTCTTCTAAGACAGGCTGGAGTGATATGAAATCGTTGGCAAGAAATTCAAGCTCGGGGTATCGTGTTTGTAGAATTCGTAATCGCTCGTCTGTGCCCATCTCAGGGGTGATCTCGACGTCCTTCAAGACTTCCGTGACCACATCTCCGTCGCCATCATCGTCTCCAGCATCAAGCCACTCCGACTCGTCGAATCCGAAGTCTGCCTCTGACATCTTTTGAAGCTTCTTCTGTTGAAGTCTCTGAGCCTCCGCCTCTTCCTCCAGGGCATCCGCACCGGTCTCGATTTGGTCATTGTTATAGTAATCCTTCTTGGAAGATCCCCAGCCGCCAGCATCTTCGTCTTCTTCTTCGACTTGCTCAACATCCGATCCTTTTACTGCATTACTTTTCCCGAATTGACGTGTATTCACTTCGTCTTCGCTTTCGGAGGAGTATCCAAGGACTTCTTCGTCTGATGGCTCAAGCAAAGCATCTGAGGAGCATTAGCAAGTTGTAATTGGCGAATAATGAGCTCAATACCTTCATCTGCCCATTTCCTTCTGCGCTTTGCGTCTGGTCCATCCTCCAGCATAACCTTGTCTCGATTGATATGGAACTCATCTTCCGAGTCTGCGACATCTTCGTAGGTCGTGATGGGTCCTATACGGCCACTCTTCGATTCGTAATCATCATCTTCTGCCGCCGGTGCAGCGCGTCCGGAAGCTTTCCTTTTTTTTGCCATTGTATCTGGTATTGAAATCGTGTGAGGGCAATTGGAGCCTTCAGATGTTGCGATTTTTCCGATAAAATTTCTCGTTATCTTAGCGCCGACCGGATAATGTTAAACTAGCTCCGAAAACTCGCTTAAAATCGCCCCCCTTTCCTCTTCGGCATCAATGATAGACTAGGCCGGAGCAGCTTGATTTACTAGATGGTCTTCGGACTTTATTCTTGACGATGCAATCGCGCAATTAGACGTGGTCAGATCTACCGACGGATGTCTAGCCTAAGCTGATGATTTATAGGGCAGCCAAGTCAAGGTTACGCCCAGCTATCTGCAATTTTACATGTCCCAAAACTCAATAGTTGAACCGAGGAAATCTACCGCAAGCACCGACATCATTATGCCCTCGAATGTGTCATCAGCTGTACAGGTGACCGAGTTTTGCTCTCAACCTTTAGTGGCTTGATTATAATGCCTTGACAATATCATTTGCTCTTCGGGTTTGTCATCTCTGAACTTTACAGGTCGTTTTAGGTGCAATTGCCTTATGCTAACTCTGGCGCTAGACCCTAATTCATTTGAAGATAGGCTAGATCTTGAAAATGGTGTTTACACTGCTTTGCATTTTAAGTCTGAGAACGCGGTGAATTTCTTTTTTGTTCGTTTGTATTAATCACTGCCTCGAAAGCCACTCAATGCATGATCCATCGACTTTGATTCAGCGTATCCTCTGACTCTTGGAGATCGGACCTCCCCTGTAACACCTCTACTATAAGTACAAAGAATTTTGAAACGTCCCGATTTTCCAAGTCCGACCAAGTGGTGTGAAGTGCTCAACGGCAGAGGTGCACGCCGTTTGCAGTTTAAACTGCAGTTTAAGCAGTTCAGTTGTCCTTCGAGTGCAGCAAATATTGCAAAACAACACTCTCCTATTCCCGAAATGTGCCTTCAGCACCGGAAAGGATGCGCTTATTACGGCGTAGTGCTCCAGAGCGAGGAACCCTACATATGCGCTTGGTCGAGAGTAGGAGAGTGTCTACGTTTCCGGTATCAGACCCGCTGGCTACCTGGTCCTTTCGAAGGGTGTGATTGTCCACGTTTGGTGGAGGCAGATACGGCTATGTCGGAGGAAACAATAAAGTGAGAGGGAGCTTTATGGTCATAAGCTGCTTCAAATGTCTTTCCTCCAGGATATTTGACATCATTATTCTAAGTGTAGAGGCTGCCCCTAATGGAGTTACGAGCAAAATATAACTCTGTTTATCTGGCTTCCAACGAAATTAATATTTCATCTCAAATCAAACTAATATCTTGAGTTACAGAATTTGAGAACCAAGTTCCAGGGTCTTTTTCGGTGATACGTGCTATTCCGACACGTTCGTAGGTATCCTTTTGAGATTCAGTCTGTGTTACTACCAGCCCGAGATTAACCTTTCCTAAGCTCAACAAATAGTAAGACCTAAACTCGTTAGGTTTGTCGTCCCAAACCACCTCAACAATCTCATTCCCAACCCGCCAAGTAGTCCGCTGCTGAAACACTAGTTTTATCATCTTGACACGCATTCGGATCAACGCAAATGTAAGAGTGCCATTCGGATCGGTCCCCTCTGGTTCCGTGCAGGCGTCATAAATGAAAGGCAATATCTGATGATTCTGATTTCCAGAAGAACAATCAATCGGTGCCACGTTCACTTCTTTACCATCGTTGTCGATAACTTGAAGGAGACCATAATCCACCGGTCCAACAATTTTAGCCCATGACCAAGAAGGACCGTAGTCGATAACAAGGGATCTCGGTGTTTTCGTCCCCTTTCTCCAGCAGAGCCCCCGAATTAAATCTTTTCTCCAAAGTCCGGCAATGTAATCGTCTTTCAGCAGGTATGAGTACTCCGCCGCCAGTCCAGACACGGCTGGGAACTTATCCGAGAGTACTGATAATTTTCGCTGTGAGTACCCTTCTACCATTCTTAACCATCTATTATATCGCTCCTCGGGAATCGCAGCGGTTGATTCCAGCCATTGAACCTTTCCACCTCGGGCTAAAATTGGATCCATACACCTTATCGTTCTCGCCGTTTTGGCACGGGCTTCATCTGAATAATATCCATCAAAGCTTCGTTTCCCTTCTCCAAAACCTTGCCTACATTCAAAGTGCATAACGCCGTCCACAAAATGGAGTATTCGTGGAGATAGCTCTCGTTCTTGAAGAGTCCATCCTCTCCGACTCAGAGGACTCTCGAGTAATGAATCACGCCAGGAACGTGCAGTTGGTTTCAGCAGCACGATCTTTCCATCGTTTTCATCTCGCTCTCGAAGGACGGAATATAGAGTTGGAGTCTGAAATAAGCCACCATGGCAATTACTGGAGGAAACTGCCGCAAGCATACAGAAGCAGTGGGAGTAGACTTTTCCCATCAAGGCTGATTCTTGTCGCCAATCATCCAGAGAGTCTTGGATAATACACAAAGAGTCTATCCAGATGTATCGCAGACCAAGTTTTCTGGTAATTTTGATAGCCTCATTAAATGTCTTCGGAAGCCTTTTTAATGGAATCTTTGCCAAGCGATCCTGTAGGGTGTCGCTTCTAGTGGTAAAATGTTTAGGCATCCACAGCCCCCAACAGTGGCTGAGCGTAAGATATCTGTTGTTATCCATAACAGTATTCTTTGTCTCGATGAGCCTGGGCGCTTTGCCTTTTTTCCCTACATCGATGAGCCTCGTTGGTACAAACTCTGTGTCGTAGCGAGCGTTACAGCTCGGATGCATGCCTTCGCTTTTTTCTATCCAAGATAGACCCTGTGCAATCTTCAAATCACTCATTGGGGCAAGGCCAAGAAAATGAGATTCCTCTGTACTGTGTTAAGATCTGGAACCTTCGAGATAGGTCATGCCTACCGGATATCTCAATATCAAACTCAATATCACGACAAAGCTTCATCTGGAAGAAGGTGTGCTTCGTTGGATTCATAGATCTTTTAGTTAGTTCAACTTGCTTCCCTTCATAAGCATAACGCATCCTTGGCCCTAGAAGAAAGGTCAAGGTAGACTTCGGATCCCATGGTAGGGACCGTTTTGATATCTGGCTCCACAAGACAGAACACGCCTTGCATCCACTCTTTGTTGAAAGCTCCAAAGCTTGTATTGTGGTATAATGATCGACATAACTTGGTACTTTGATTGGACCTCGGTGCATTAATAGCCGATCCAGTAAGCTCTGACACATTTGACAGATTGTCATTGCAGATCAATCGTCTTTGCGTTCGTCGATCTTTAATCGAGTTGTTTGTTTGTCGTCGAAGACTGTGTTGAGCTGGTAAATATGCATATCGATTTCAAGTGGCAAAGTTTGAAGAAAATGAAGCTGGGAATGAAATCTACAAGTCATTAATAAGCGAAGAATGGTCACGAGGTATGGTATCTCTTGATTGGTTGAGATCCTGCTTTCTTCCTCCAACACCACTATCACCATATTAAAAACATCGTTGCACTTCAATTAACTCAGATTATCATGATATAAGCAGGACGTCAGCTCCCTTCTGAGTCTCGAAAACTTTACCTTTCTACCTTATGTTGTCCGTCAAGCTCTCAGATAATATTATCTTTGTATTTGATTGCTACTGTAGTCCGCTCAGTAAGAGATGCAATCGAGCAGAATAGCAATGCCAGGCAAAATTTTGGTCTCTGATTGTCTCTCAATATACGACAAAGCATGAAGACTAAGCCCAATCCACAGCAAACTTCGCAAATCCTTCACTTTTCACCATCCTCTCCATGGCCTCGCTCTCCAAAGCAGCCATAACCTCCAAGCCACCATCTGCCAATCTAGGTAGAACAGCAATCGCTCCGTCCGCTGCTTCATACGGCATGCTAAACCCCTCTGGCTTGCCAAGAACTCCCCATTCTCTGTTTCGAACACCAATGTCAGCCCACGAGGTCGCGGTCAAGTCAGGTCCCAAGAACCCATGGCAAGCAAATTTGAAATCTTGAGCATTGGGTCGCGAGCTGAGGAGTCCGATCGTCATTGGAATGCGGTTGGGTGTGTTGGTCTTGTTGACCGCGCTGCGGATGGCTGCTGCTGCCAATTTGAGGCCAGACTCAGGATCTTTGAGGCTTGTTACCAAAAGTCGTGGTGTGATTGCGGCCAAGGACGCATTGCCCATGTAAGTCAGAGGAAGTGGGGGACTGGTGCGACTGCGGATGTTGACGGCAAAGCAGATGTTGGATGTCTTCACATTGTCGCCAGCATCGGTAGTTGGATTTCGAGCTGCGGTCATGTGGTGCCAGAAGAAGGCACATAGGGCATCATTTGTTGAGTAAGCTTTGGCTGCTGTCTTCAGATTTGCGAGATGCTCCGAGGAGAAGTAGAAGATCTTCGATACCATTGGCGGCATCTCGAAAGCTGGAAAGCCCATCTGTTGTCCATCCGAAGGCATCATTATGTACTCTGGGAAGTCTGCTATGTTGGCCGGTAGCCCCTGACAGAGAGGCATGCGATTGTTCGAGACAGGATCGTACGTGCTGAAGGATCGAGTGCTGGAGACTGCAGTTGTATTCAGCGCCCATGTTTCGAGAATGGTATCTAGGCCAGTTGCGTCGCAGGCTGAATGATGAACTCCGACTGTAAGGAGAAGTCCTCCTTCGATGAAGTTTGCCTGCGCAGCCATCACAGGCTGGATGGCTTGCATAACCTGCAGTGGAGAGACCAGGGAAGTTGTAAATTTCGAGAAGGAAAAGTTGTCCTTCTTGAGCTTGGTATAGGAAGGTAAAATACTGGTGAGGTCCTTGAATCTGCAAGTCCTCTAGTCAGCCTTCGATCGCGCAACTTCTGGGGGAACATTGACGAACTTGAGCTCAACGCCACCAAAGCCCTCCACAACCTGGATGCGATTGCTCTCTGGATTGCTTCCTTCTGCTGGACCCTGCGTTTTAAGGTCAGGTATAGAAGTTTTGTGCTCGAACTGCAGGACGATGAGTAGGATAAACTCACAATTTGGCCAGCGATCCAAGGAATCGAAGCAATTGTGTGAGCTAGTCCTTCTTTCAACTTCTCATGCCTGAGAATGTCGGTTAATCGGAGGGTACCCAGTAAGTGTACCATTTCAGTCTTACACATCAGCTCTATCCGCACCGGCGGCTAAGGGGAAGCACAAAATCCAACGACTTCCATATAGCCTTGGCATGTTCATATCGAGAGGCGACAGTTTCTGTTCCGTAGTTCCCTTCAGGAGAATGCCATAGTCTTCGACGCGGACAAGTTCCTTGCTTGATCCTGTACCGAGGCTTAGAGCTTGAAGACCGTCGGCTGGAGAATCCATGGTTGTTGGTTGAAATGAAATGCAGAAGCCAAATGAGATTGAAAGGAAAGATATTGGAGTAATTTTCAGTAAGAAGTTCGAATTTGGAGCAAAGTTCCTCTTTATATCCGGTGACTGAGGTCCGTCGCTGTCGTAGTTACTTCGTCTCTATGGAATGCTGTTTCCTGATTGGCCATCTCAACCATTTCCTAACTCGGTTAGATTGCTCCGGCAGATTGGATGACAGGACCCTTACCATTTCCGGATTGATCTGTGCTTGGCAAATGGGAAAATAAGAGCTCTGTTTCGTAGGTTGGAATTTAAAAGCGATATCAGACGCAATCAAATCTGAAATCCTCTGGCCTCCCAAAGAGTGTCTGGCTCTGTGCTTTAGATAAGAGCTTTGCATATGATTCACCGTTTTCAGCAAGCCAATGTAATTGAGCACGCATCCATCGTCTTTGACTTTCCGGAACTGATGGCACACTGGAACAAAGATAGAGAGGCCAGACGAGAGAAAATCTTCCCGTATGCTTCGATTTGTCGACCTTCACCATTGAATCCTGAGGCCACATTTTATCTGCCACGGAATTGATGCTTGTAGTTGGTCTCTTCAACTGTGCCAAATCGTAGCCCATAAGGTATGGAACACTGGCACATATGCCGTTGACTAATGTACGGACGACCTTCTGACTGTGGATGTCTTTCAGCGTTTCTCGGTCAATTTGGGAACGGGTACAAAGCTCAGACTCAGCCCGGAGAAGGATTGAGTGAATGATCAGTCGTGAGACGCGGTAGAGATTCCATATCCGCGCTGCATAGAAGTCTGAATACCTGTGGATTTCATCAGGGATGAAGAACAAACTCGGAACCACTGAATAAGTGGTGGGGTTTAGATTCGTAGCCGCAATATATGAGCATGCAGGAGACACGTTGTTTGCCCAATCTGCAAGCTCACAATCCAGGCTTTCGCAAGCTCGAATGATCTCGGCAATGTCACTGTCGGGAATGTTCCACCTTGACTTCGAGAAGATGTTATTAACCGAGGACTGAAGTTGTGGTATTTTGATGGTTACTGAAAGGAGTCGGTCTTCAGGATTCTCGAAAGGCAACGCTGCATCTGCAAGCTCATCAAAGATTGGATCAATTGGTCGAGAAAGCTGAGTATGGCCATGTATCTAGTACACTCGTCAGATTGCAGATGAACATTTTTAAAAGGCCTCCTACAGCGTTTCGTCGAATGAAGAGAAACATATTGCATTGCAACGGCGTTGACAATTTTTCTTGTCCTCGAAATCTAAGTAGGGCGCAAGCTCCATCTACGTGCGAACCCCATGCCGACGATGTTTCTGAGTCAAACGTAATTGTCTGTAATAGGAATCAGATTGGGATCAGATAATTGAATGTTGGTAAATATGACGCACTTCATATCCACAAAGGAGGAGTATTGCATACAAGTTCTCGTCACTCTTAGCTTCAACTGGGTCTTGGATTGCACGTCTCAGTGCAGAGAGCGATTGAAGGTAGCGCTTTTTGGATATAAGCCTTGTACAAGCACCATTTCTATTGGATCTTGCCCACTAAAAGTGTCATCTGTTAGCAGGTGCTCGAGGTGGGACCAATAGATTTTGGGTGGGATAAAGAGGTTATCATTGTCCGGGCGATCTCAGAGCATAGCTGTGTTGACTACTGAGCTTTCCTGCGCAATAAGAATTAAAAAGAACTTAGGCAACGTACCACAGCATACGATATTGCTTGTGTAGCCAGACATAGCGCGGAATCTTGCCGACTCCGCGAGAATAGAGTGGGAAGCTGCAGATGGAGATAACGAGAATGGTCTGACTCATGCATGGTATGCATCATGAATTCGTAGAAGTAACAGAGAGTTTGATCATCTTGCGAAGGGAAAAGGGAACGTAATAATAGGGTTTGAGTCAATGTTCCGCAATTTGAGCCATGCTGGTTATGTGGGTGCAGTCCTCGAGTTGAAAGAGCGAAGCTATTTTCTGATTTCTGGAGCCTCGACTTTGAGACTGTGTTCCGATTTTCATTGCGAAATATGAGATCGACACCCTGTCGATAGCCGGGGCAGACTTTTCCAAGCCTCACGCATCGTGAACATCGCGGGCGCTCTTCGTCGCACTGGCACATGTCAGTCAATGCCAGGCAACTTGAATGTTGAACAAACCTTTACATGTCCCTTTCTGTACGATTTATGAGCTGAATATAATGAGAGGAGGCACTAAACTTACTTGCAAGTCCCACATCCTTGACTTGGCTTTCCAGTGTATGTCATCTGAGACGGTGCCCACCCGACGACCCCTGGACGGCACCCGTGCAAAGTGAATCAAAAGGAGAAAGGACGCACAATACGAAGACTGACGCTAAGGTTGATGAATGCAGACCGAGAATTCAACGGAGTCTGAGTATGTGAGAAGCTGCGAAGACGCGGTGGGGTTGGGAGTGCATATTTTAAGGGGTTGGCGCGGCTCGGTTGGTAGTGAGGTGATCGCCCGTCACGAGACTTCACCTCCATCAAGGTTTTTGTGACAGAGGTCTAAGTGTGAATCAATTCTAATGGAAGTCTGAGAATACTCTGTATGTATATGTAGCATGTGGAGAAATGAAAGTGAAATCAAAAATACATATAGCACGTGATTCGTGACCGTGTGTCCTGCTGCAAGTCTGCAAATATACAAATGACATCTAAACCCTTGTCATTCGTGATGTTGGTGAAGGATAGCATTTAGATGATTGCTTACTCCATGTTTTGATTGCGCAAGGCGAAATGGCTGTTGGCCTCGGTATTCCCGTAGGTGTGGTAACACATAAGCATCATCCCGTCGGGAAGTTTGCTTTCAGGAAACGGAGAGTTGGCTGCCCAAGTTTGGGATTTTGAGTAATGGTGTTGGAACATATACGTTCCAACCCTGTTATCAATTTCTCATCTCACCTACAGTCCGTGTCAAAGGACGGCTTCGTCTGTCGACATTTGGCCTCGACAATATCTGATATCGGTATAGGCGTCGGTCGAACTCGTATGCGAGAATATGATGGACGGTTTGAATATGCTGTGTAATCTCTGTGGAGACCTGTTTAGGGGCAGGTGTGAGTGGCGTACGAAGCTGTTGCTGCTGCGTGTGTTTCTGCACCAAGGGAAAGATATCAGCGAGGTGTTGACAGTAGAAGCACTTGCTTTCAGAGGACATCAATGTCTGCTATGCTGCAGGCTACTACGGGAAATTAAGAAGAGGAGACACATGAAAGATCTGGACGCCACCTCCAAACTCACTGTTCGTCGGAGGCTGATGGATGATGAAGTCAGAATATCAGCGGAGAAAGGAGTAAAATTCTGCATTGGGGAGCTATGCTGCCAGTTTACCAAATTGAGTTCCATAGGCTCGTACAGTGAATGAAGAAACAATCTTAAGAATTCTCAACTAACTTCTCATAGAACATATGGTTTCTTGTCCGGCAAAAATGGAACAAAATACGGGATCTCAAACTTCTATAGGTTTGGCTAGAACGTGGCTTGACTGTTGTCTATCAACACATCGGAGTGCGTTCGGGTCCAAGAGAGATTGAACATATCGACGAGACTTTTAGAGATAAACAAGCCCATGACAGGTCACGTAAGGTTGTACAATACGGCAGACTTCAATTTCCAGCCTACGTACATTACTTTGAGCCATTGTTGGGGTGCGGCCCAATTCCTCAAGCTCACAATTGAGACGAAACACCAACTCTTTGAAGGTATTCCGGTTTCAGAACTCGCCCAATCTTTTCAAGACGCAGTCCAAGTCGTAGAAAGATTAGGCCAGCAGTTTCTGTGGATTGATTGTCTGTGCATATTTCAAGATTCTTCTGAAGATTGGCTGCACGAATCTTTGAATATGAGCAGTGTGTATAAGGGAGCATTATGCAATATCGCTGCAGTCGCTTCTGAAGATGGTAATGGTGGGCTTTTTCGTGAAAGAGCAGTTCAGCAACTAAGACCTCTCGTTCTCCGATCCAAGTACTCAAATCGAGTAAATTATCGATACTTTATTGACTATAAAAGCATCGACCAACACCCACATCACAATGAGCAACCTCTATTTCGGCGTGGTTGAGCTTTACAAGAGCGGTTCCTATCACCGCGAAGGATAAATTTCGGGTCCGATTACATTTTCTGGGAATGTCGCCGCCATACAGCATCGGAAGTGTACCCTTCGGGTATCACTGGCATCATGAACGAGGCATTTAACTTAAAACTCGACATTTGTCAGCATAAAGATCCACTGATTGCCGGCCTTTGCTGGAACGATATCTTACAAAGGTATTCGCAATGCGTGTTGACAAGACCCAACGACAAACTGGTTGCAATTTCTGGCATCGCGAAATCGTTCTCAGAACTTGGTAGATCTGAAGATTACTTTGCTGGTCTGTGGCGCAGACTCATACTGTCTCTATTGTTATGGAGCAGGACGAATCGGCTTCGATCATGTATCACAAAAGCAGATGAATATCGAGCGCCCTCATGGTCATGGGCTAGTGTCGACGGTTCTATCCGCTTAGGAAAGCCTATGTATAACGACCCTATGACAAGCACGTTAATTGATGTTAAGGCGGAGAATGTAACCCCAGACAGATTTGGGCAGGTGATTAGTGGCAGCATAACTATCGCTGGTTCACTAAAGCTATTCTCATTCAAGAGCAAAGAAATCGTGGACTCGGCAGATCGATGTATTATGAGATGTGAAGATATGTATCTGCAGGACAAGTTCTATAAATTCGGGGTTCGCGGATTCGGGCATGCACTATTGGACCAAGACTTCTCGACATTGAAAGATGTTTCTCGACTCCACTTTCTGCCCCTGATCTTGGACAAATGGCGCACTGAGGGGCTTCTACTATCGCCGACTGGCAAGGCCAAAGGTCACTTCCAGAGAAGTGGCGTATTGCAAATTAGCCACTCAGTAAGTCGAAGACTCTTTGCCATAGTGGGTTGTAGATCAAGCCAACTGATATGGCAATAGAAGCTGGGCATATGGCATCCTTGCGAAAGCGATTGTTTAGAATATGAGAGCTTCAACGGGAGCTTGTACACGGTAACAATCATTTGACTTGCCAAAGAAGAGCGGGACGTTTGTTTTGGATAGTTGCAATGGAAAGCAGCAGATGTGTCCAATCTTTTCATGCAGCAGAAATGAGAGCTTCAATGGGATGAACATGCCGCGACACAAGCAAAAGCCCGTCAAAATGTGGAGTGAAAGCACATATTATTCGATGTGAGATGCAGAGCAAGAGTAGCATTTTTTATGCCAATTTTGGAGTGTATAAGATAGAGGAGGTTTGAGTGAGTTAAAGCCAAGCTGGGCTGGCTCGGGCTGGTCGTCAGTGGCGGAACGCTAGTGCTCGCTAAAGATTGAACAGCCAGATCGCATCAAAGCACAATTAATTCCATCATCATCATTCCCGACCTGTCTCTCCTTTCATCTCCAACAACTCTCGGGACATTGACAATTGATATCTGGTCGCCATTATGGGTTTCTACAAGTACACTGCTTTTGCTCTTCTCGCTCTGCGTGCTGTCAGCGTCTTTGCTGCCGATGCTGTAAGTTAAATACCAGTTCCTGCGAGCTCGACAGCTGGTCAAGTGCTAACGTCATGGATGCAGGTCGAAGAAGAGCTCGAAAGTCCTCCCACAACCCCCAATCTCGCTGTTTCCGTGTCTGCCTCCTTCCCGTCGTCCGAGGTCTTCGGTGTCAAGCTCATCAATGGGCACGCGACAAAAGCTGTGTTGGACTTCACAAATAACGAGGCCGAGCCAGTCACAATAGCTGTCATTGGAGGAGCTCTGTCTACTTTACAGCCATTGCCCGAGGGAACTCATCCTAGCGCTGGCATTGTTCGCAATATCACTGCTACTCGTTACGATGTCTCCATTCCTGCTGGAGAGAAGCAGAGCCTCCCCTTTACTTTCACCACCGACCTTCACCCACAAGATCTCCGTCTCAACTTGATCGCCGTTATCGGCAGCGTTGCTGGAGAGGTCTACCAAATTCAGGCATACAATGAAACTGTTACCGTCGTTGAGCCAGCTACTTCCATCTTCGACCCTCAAATGTATGCCAAAGCCCCCTTTTCGCCATTTGCTCCCACTCACATTATCTAGCATTTTCCTTTACCTCTTCCTCCTCGCAGCATTCGCTGGTACCCTCTACTTCGTATACAAGACCTGGATCGAGGCCCTCTTCCCACAAACCAAGCGCGGAGGCAAGGGTGGAGAGCGCGCCAAGCGATCATCTGCAGGTTCCAAGAAGGCTGTTCCAGTTGATGAGCAAGTCTCTGTCATTGGTGCCGATGGACCAGCTGTCACTACCGGTGCTGAAGCCCAGAAGGCATATGATGAGAGCTGGATCCCCGAGCACCACTTGAACCGACCATCCGCCAAACGTGTCAAGAGCGGCGCATCATCGAAGACCAAGGCTCGTGCCGAGTAAATTGACGATCAAGATTTCGATTGGGCACACTTCACTGTTGTATTCTCATGCAACTTGATGGGAGGAACGGTTGAAACTGTATCTTAAATACTGGTTGATATGGGAGGATGCATATGGTGGCGCAGGGGGGAAAGAAAAGCATGTGTACAATACAACAAAAGTCAATCTGTCACAAGTTCGAATTTGTGAGAGATGAATTGTGAATTAAAATGCCTCGATGCTAACCATACTTGCAACTGAACAAGGCTGTCTGTCAATCTTGGTTCGCTATTAGAACTTATGGGCCCATCCGTACCTGCCCATTGGGATGGAAATTAATGTTATTTCAGCTTCACATTTCCTTGAAAATTCAAAGCTATTTCAAGCTGAAATTCTCAATGTGTTCACATCTTTCAAGACAAGAGGAAAGTTGGGTTCATGCAAATTACCACTCAGGCCTTCAAATGTCAGTAGCCAATTAGTACTTAACCCACGATCATTGTCCCACGGACTTTAGGATCATTTTATATCCCAATCTCCACGGCACCGAAAAGCAACGCGCCTCATAATAGCTGAACGTATGCCTTCCAATACGCCCGATTTGCAACATTTCACGTCACTTGCATTGCTTTTGATATTTGCTATTGCTCTATACAACATGTTATTCTGCGAGGTTGTATTTAAGCTATAAATGATAGGGCCTTCGATATGAGCCAGCATATCTAAATTAAGTTATGCTACTTTCCGTATTCCTCAATCAATTCGCTGGCCAGCTCCTGAGCATCTATTCTCAAGAAAACTTCACTTTCATCGCAGGAGGATATGTTTTCGGCTGAAATGCCCTTCAACTTTGACTTGTGAAGTTGCTTAAGCCCCATGCCTTTAGCCACAAAATCATCTCGTCTAGATGTCAGCATTCCTCCCTGCATAACAGCGTATCTTGTTCAAAGACTATGGAAGTCCAACATTGAGTGGTAAAAATGAGAGGTTAGCTCAGCATACCTTTGTCAACGTCCGACTTCAATGGAGAATATCAAGTAGGATAAAGTAATGTACCAACTTTGCAATATTATCTAGTCTAAAGCTCAGTTTCCGAGTCCAGATATTGATTATCTTCATATAAGCGCTTTCTTAGCGGAGATGCCAATGGAAACGAACCAGGCACGCAGATTCTCGGATCAGAAGAGAGTACATATGACCTAGATATGTCGCGAGTTGTTTCATTTGCTAAGCTAATATGTACTAAAATCAGTTCAAGAAGCAACCACAGAAGCCTCCATCTTAACCCCCTCCAATGCCTCTTTCTTCGCCTTCAACGCCGCGAAATTCCTGTTCATCGCCGCCTGCGTGAACTGCTTCCCAGTAACAGCCTCATACTTCTTTCCAGGTCCCTGGATGACCGCATCTGTACACGGCTGATTGAAGAACGCCATACTGTACCTCGGCCCAAAATAATCCTTCTCAGCATCGGTAGGAGTCTTGACTCTATGAAATGTACTCTTGAACCGATCATCGCTCCAGCTCATCAAGAGATCGCCAATGTTACAAACAATTTCTCCCGGCGCAGGTTCGACCTTCGTCCAGACATCACCAATACCGAACCCAGTAGACACTTCTCGCCCAGGACAAATCTCCAACCCGCTTTGTCCAGAACGTTGGAACAACAGCGTGATGAAATCCCAATCCACATGTGCGCCCGCTCTATAATAACCCTCTGGTACAGGCACGCTCTTGTCGACTTCGAAATAATGTAGAAGGCGCAGAACGGTCTGGGACTCTGGCCTCGAGACATCGTGAGCGCGGATAAAATACTCGTCATCGAATCCCAGGCCTCGTGCAAAGCAGATCATAAGCTTTTCGGATACAGATTGCGCTTTGTTCATGAATTCCAAGGAGGCACTTTTGAAGCCCGGTAATGTGGACTCGGGGAGCCAGAGACCCGACATGTTGGCGCCGAATTGCATTTGGTAGCTCTCTTTCTGGTCCGGTTGACCTGTTGAGGGCCGGATCTGAGCGTTCTTCTCCCAGCCGGCGTTGAGGTGGGTGAATGGGACAGTGGACTTTGTTGAGTCTGGGAGAGAGAAGAAGGATTCTGAGGTTGAGAACATGGTTTCTATCTCTTCGAGGGAGATGCCATGGTTGATGAGGCCGAAGAACCCGTCGGTTTCGGCGGCGTGGACTAGTTGTTGGGTGATTTCGTCGATGCGGTTCGAGAAGTCGTGGAGGGAGATTTTTGGGATTGTTCGGTCGGCGTACTTTGTTGGTGCCATTGTGTGGGATGAAGGAGGGGGATTGAGGTGAATAGTGGAAGAGATGATAGATTTGAGAGAGTTGGAGAGGAGTGAAGTATGGTTGTGTGTGCAGATGAGTGTCTAGTAATATGTCTGCAGAGAGAAGGAGAGTGCATTTACTTTATTCTGTCTCTATTCTGCTTCCTTGAGCAGTCTATATATCTTGAGCTTGTTCACCTTCCGGCACTTTAATCCGAATTGTCTGTCAAAACTTACCTCAGATCTTCAAGTCATTGCCTCACTGAAGCTTTTCCGTATCAGTCAGATAGGAGGTCTATCAGCGGCTGCCTCCGATGGAATTCTCATTGGTTGTCAGTTTAGTGCGGGAAGCTATCGAGCGGTGGCAGCCGAGCCAAGAGTGGGACCCGTGACTCGGGCGAGCTCGGCCGTGGCTCAGATCACGAGATATTTGTCATGCGGGTCGAGACCTCGAATTCATCAAGCCCTGGGACTTCGGAAGCGGGAAGAGTAGTGAGTGAGCATGTTCTGAATTCGACCTCGTTTCTATGGCTATTCCACACAGCTGTAGCTCCTTTCATCTCCCAGGTCAAAACCGTCTGGTCACGTGGAAGAGTGATTTCAGGAGGTACGGGGCGAACAGTCTTTATGATAGAGCCAGTTGTATATATTGCAGGCCAGGAAAATGAAAGATATGTATCGCAGAAGAAGTGTACCTTCTGTGCCCCGATAGTGTATGCACAGACTTGAGGAGATTTGCAAGAAGTAGAAGCTTTTGATTGAATTTATACATATTTCCACCCTTTCCTGTTGACAGCCTTCACTCCCGATCTTTCTCTGATCCCTTTTATGGACTTCCTAGCTGCTGCGATAACTTCCCTTCCGTCCATTGTGACTAACTTTCCATCTTGCACCAGCACTTCTCCATCAACAACCACCATCTCCACATCAGCACCCGTACAACTATACACAACAGTCGTCATTGGATCAACTCCTCCATCCAAAATGTGCTCCTCTAAATATGGAGCAGTATGCAGCCCACTTGGATTCACAACCACGAAATCAGCTTTCTTCCCCACCTCCAAACTCCCAATTTCCTTCTCCAATCCCAGCGCTCTTGCTCCATTGATAGTCGCCATCTCCAGCACGGTCTCAGCACCAACCAACCCAGCGTCATGCTTTGCACCCTTGTGGATGATACCTGCCAGATGCATTTCTCGAAACATATCATAGGTGTTGCCGCAAGGAGCACCGTCCGTACCCAGACTGACATTTACACCCGCGTCCAACATCTCAGGTACTTTCGCGATGCCAGAAGCTAGCTTACAGTTGCTGTTCGGATTATGCGCCACCGTCGTCCTCGTCTCTTTCAAAATTGGTAGATCAACAGAAAGATCGAGATGCACCATATGCGCAAGCACAGTTTTCGGGCCAGTCAATTTTGCTTGCTGACAGAACTCCATAGGTGTCAATCCGTAACTATTCTTGTAGATAGTGAGATCTTTTGGAGCTTCGGCACAATGCATAGTTAGTCCGATGTCATGTTTCCGGCATGCTTTACCGATCCCGAGGTGCGACGAGAGCGGCGAGCCACGAGGTGTACCAGCTGCCGCCCAGACGTGGAGACGATCATTGAAAGAGCCGTGGTGCTTCTCGTGAGCTGACAGCATGGATGAGATGGACATTGAGGAGATGTCTTTGTCGCGCGGGTCGGTGATGTTGAGGTCTTTGTTGCTTTCCTCGAACTTGACCAATTTTCCCTGTTTCTCTATCAATTGATGAGATTTTAGACTTGTGCTTGGAGGACTCTTACAAGGCAACCTCTAATACCGCTCTCCCCAACTGCTCGAACTACGTTCTCGAAACCACTCCTGTGCGTCAACATGGCTTCCAGAAAGCACGTTGTCCCACTCTTCAACATCTCGGCAATCGTGAGCTTGGCGGCTACATATCCATCCTCTTCATCGTAACTGGCTTCAAGTGGCCAGATAGCATCGCATAGCCAGGAATGAAGAGGGAGATCTTCAGCTAGACCACGGAGAAGAGATTGTGCGAGGTGGGCATGGGTGTTGATGAGCCCTGGAATAACGATACGATTTTGAAGTGAGATAGTCGTTCCATTTCCTGGGAGATCAGGAAGAGAAGTAGCTTTTCCAATGGAGGTGATGCGGGAGTCGACTACGAGAATATATCCGTTCAGGATGACTTCCCGTGAGGAGTTGATCGTGATGATCGTGCAGTTTGTGTAGAGTGTTGACTTCTGTTCGGACATTGTGAGTATTGTATGGTGAGACTTTTTGTCATCCGAGGTCTTGCAATAAGTGCTTGCTGGAGACTGCGATTCAACTTGATATTCTCAACAAGCAGCTGCAAGCTACTCTTGAGAAGTGCAGTGAGAAGGTCGCGAATCTTGTTGGCCTTCCCAGAGGCGTTTTCACTTGAGGCACATTCCGACTTCAAATCTCAGAGATTGACGATATCCCATTCAGATAGGCAGCCACCGAACATCAAATCTAGTCAAGGATTTGAGTTTTCCGGAATCATCGTGAAATCTTGAAGTGGGTTAGCTTCCCCAGGTTTCTTGCCGTTGCTCCCTATCGCGGCCAACTCCGACACGATGTTGACACACCTAGAATATGATATCCACACCTCGCCTCCTGAACCTGCACGTGTTTTCTCGAAGGCACCTGCTGGGAGCTGATTTCTGATGAGAGGGATAGTTATCGGAAGTAGTCATCGCTTGACCATAGTTTGCGTATCTGCATTCCTCAAAATAGCAACAATATCCTTGCTCCGTAGGTCCCCAGAAGCTGACGATTTAAAGTGCACAGAAACTTGGAAATAAGACTAGTGTCTCCTTGAGAGCATGATTTGAAGAGGTGACTATGCACTTCATTCTCACTGCCTTCTTCTCTGGATTCTTCTTCGACGCCGTCTTTGAAGCTGTTTCCATGGGTAAAGGATTTGACACCGACAACTGCCACGTGACTGAAGAGGATTTCCCCTGTCTTCGGGGAGCTCTCAACTAACGCAAAAGCGGTTCACGAAGCCGAAGTTCTTGCATATATGCCAAAGGATCTGCTAGGATCCTCATCGTTTGATGTCCAGAAATGTGTTTGAATGATTGAAACGTGGATTCGTTCGGCTCGACAGGGGTTGAAGTCTTCAACACCACTTTACTAAGCCCCACCCGAACTTTGACTATTCTTCTAGTTTGACAGCTCTGATCTGGCCCGTAGATAAGATGGTCACATATGAGAAAAGCGCTTCTCGGAAAAAAAGGAGATGATGAGTTGTCTCTGTCTAGGTCATGTGATTGATCAGTCACCACTAAAATTGGAAGGTCTCTTCTCGCTTTCGCTTTTTCTTTCTTCCTCACTCAAAATACTTGATTGTTACCTTGAGACATGATTGCCGTGCCACCGGGAGTTCAGGGCACTCGACAGATAATTGGTTCTTGACTCGAGACTGGAGTTCGCAAGTCGCGCGTTCCTGAACCTCGTTCGCATAATCGAGCTGAGACACCCAATGCCAGAATTCCTTCAAGATAGATGTAGCTTTTGCAATTATATGTGTATGCATACCGATATATAAGGCTGCTCGCAACTCGTACCTGTCAACAACATCAGATAGGCTGTAGATTCCTCGCATCTTCGTTTCGTCGGAGTTTTCTTTCATCCGACTCAAACCCATGATTCACCGAATTAGCACAGCGATACAAAACCATCTAACCTTCCAACTATTCGCGTCGATTCAAGTACATTCATTTTCTACCAATCATGACTAATTCGGCTTTCAACACGCCTCCACAAACTCCGCCAAACTTCGATGCAACCCCCGAAGAACTCATATCGAATACCAGGGCTATCATTGACAAGACACGAAGCTTGCAAGATGCTATCATTGCTTCGGTACCTCTAAAAAAGGCAACCCTTGCCAATGTCTTGCTTCCACTCGCTCACGATGAGAATGCTTCACTTTGCAAGAGGAAGATTTCCAAATTCTACAGCTCAACATCCACATCAGCAGAATTGCGTGAAGCAAGCAATGCTTCCGAGGCACTCTTCACTGCATTCGATTCCGAGACATTGATGAGGAAAGATCTCTTTGAACTAGTCCATGCCGTCTTCGAGAGACGTGTTAATTTGGACAATGAGTCGCAGTTCTATCTTGAATACAAACACCGCGAGTTTGCAAGAAACGGCATGGGAATCATTGAGTCCGAGAAACAAAAGAGATTCGCTCAGATTAAGGTAGAGCTTCATGAAAAGCTCATTGCCTCGAGAAAAAGTATTAATTCAAGTTCTGGAATCTGGCTCGGCGAATCGGAACTTGATGGTGTGCCGGATAACATACGGAAAGGTTTGAAAAAGGGAGAAGGAGAGAAGGCGGGGAAGTTGTGGCTCCCGTTCAAGAAACCACATTATGATGCGGCATTGAAGTATGCAAAAAATCCAACAACGCGGAAGAAGATCTATGTCGGTAACGACAATCGGTGCCCGGACAACGTGCCAAGGGTGAAAGAGATCGTACTTCTGAGAGACGAAACTGCGAGGTTGTTGGGATATGAAAATCATGCTGAGTATCAACTCGAAGTGAAGATGGCAGGGTCAACAGGATTCGTCAACGATTTTCTCAGCGGGTTTCGGGAGAAACTGACAATGATTGCAAGAAAAGAGCTTGAGGCTTTGAAAGCATTGAAAGCCCAAAATCTGGAGGAAACGGCACTGCAATCAGGCGTCGGCACTGACACGTTCTTTACCTGGGATTATAATTTCTACTCCAACATTAGCAAAGCCCAAAATCATTCTTTCGATGAGAAGAAGTTCTCCGAGTACTTCACGCTGGAAAAGTCACTTGCTGGCATGATGACTACATTCTCGCGCCTGTTCGGGCTGCAATTTGTCGAGATCAAACCAGACGAGAACTCAACTTTCGGCAACGAACATGTGATGACCTGGCACGACTCAGTGTCTGTGTTCACTCTTTGGGAGGGCAGCGAGGACAGCGATGCGTGCAATCAAGGAGAGTTTGTGGGATATCTATACCTCGACCTCTTTCCACGCGACCACAAATTCAATCATGCGGGACATTATCTTCTCCAGCCAGTAACACTACCCCAATTTCGTTGTTGGTATTTCGTTCCGTCAGCTAAAACATTACAGGGATATTTTTCAGAAGACGGAGAATACCATTATCCTTCTTCGGCGCTCGTCATGAACCTCCCTACTCCACAGCCGGGAAAACCAACACTACTATCCCATGACTCAACTCGTTCGCTCTTCCACGAACTCGGTCACGCAATTCATAACCTCGTATCCAGGACCCAATTTGCAATCTTTCATGGCACTGCTACAACTAGAGACTTCGTTGAAATCCCTAGCATCATGCTTGAAAACTGGTGGTGGACTCCAAGCGTGATCAAGGAACTTGGCTGTCACTACTCATACATCTCCGAGGAGATGCTGAAAGCGTGGGAAGATAGTGAAGGACGAGAGAATGAGAGACCAGCTGAAAAGTTAGACGATCAGAGTATCCAGAACCTCGTTGCGACTAGAAGGTCGAACGAGGCGTTGGCCACACTGAAACAATGTCACTTTGCAATATTCGATATGGCAATTCACTCGCCCTCTTCTCGCGAAGAAGTGGAAGGTATGAATCTTTCTCAGATGTGGAACCAAACGATGAGCGATATTACACTAATGAGTGGGTTGGAAGTCGAAGGGGAGGGGTGGGAGTGGGGTCATGGTTGTGCGAGAATAGGTGCATATATCAGAGGTTATGATGCAGGATACTACGCTTATCCTCTGTAAGTTTGATCATGTCTTTCGATCTGTGAAATCCATAGATGGCTGACGAGTTTTCTTTCGCAGGGGTAAAGCTTACGCTCAAGATCTGTTCAAGTCAATGTTCGAAGTAGATCCTATGAGTAAGGAGGTCGGAATGAGATATAGACGAGTCGTGCTGGAGAAAGGTGGAAGCCGCAATGGGATGGAACTTCTAGAAGATTTTCTGGGACGGAAACCCAATGCTGCGGCGAGGTATGAAGAGCTGGGTTTGGCGGGAGGTCAGCTCAACCCCTCTCGTTGCTAGTGCGCAATGATTCATCATGTCTCACAAATCCAGCGCACATTATTATCTGCTTCTTCTAGGTACCTTCAGCAATTTGACTACTAATCAGGCTAGTGTTCTTATCTTTGAGACCTACCATTCTTGGAATTTGATCTTCTCGGACTTCACTTCTACGACTGTGCATGCTGTTCAGAGGGACGGACTCCGCGATGATAGATTCAATTCGGTTGCTAGCTACGTCATTAATCTCTGTGTTTGAGGATTTTGCGTTGTGTGAGGGATGTCCGTTCGTTTCTGATCCTATAATCTTACGACGGAGAAGTCCCTTTTAGGAAAATGGTGTTTGGCGAGATTCATCCAATTGGTCTTTGGGTCTTAATACGATCTAGATTTGTTGTGCATGCTTTGTACTCATTTGATTGAGTTCCCGATGGTTCCACAGCTCCGCTGGTGGCTTTGAATGGCTCTAAGCATATCGAAATAGACGATTTTGCGTCTTGGCGTTGGTACGGAGCTCATGAACCTGCTGTAATACGGACTTGGAGTTTATTTCGAAATGCAATATCGAATGGTATAAAAGGATGTGCTCATCTGCAATCGACTTACCACAGCAGCAGAATATATCAAAACGTCATCATGATGTCCGCTTCACTCCCACCACCCCGTCGCATCGTAACGTCCAACTTACCCATTCCAGTACATCTATCTGCAGGAAAGACACCAGAACCGGCTGTCGAAGTACTTGTCGAAGATCTTGCACAGATTGAAGAGTTGGGTGGAATTATTTGCCGCGGAACTGTTTTCACGCACGAGAACATTCCAACCAGCAACGACGGAAGGTAAGTTTTTATCAGAATCAGAAAATTTTCAACTCAGTCCTCTAACTTGGTCAGGGACGTCATGCCTAGAGAGATAACCAACGGAGGACTGGTTCTTCCAAATGGAGCAAACATCAGGTTTAATGATGTTGCACCTGGACAGGTGGTCCCGATGGTATATACTCCAACATCAGAAGCTTTGAAAAGACCGCTCACAGACAAACATAGCATCGCACTCAGTCAACCGACTACGATATCATTCTAAATGGATCTATTCATCTACTCACTCCCTCCGTCGCGTCTGATGGCACATTGACCTCGATCCAAGAGACTGTCTGTAACGCTGGAGATGTTGTGTTCCAGAGGGGCACTATGCACGCATGGGAGAATAGGTCATCAGAGTGGGTTAGATGGGTTGCGATTCTGCTTGGAGCTGAGCGGAATCAAGTTGAGGTTGAAGGCAAAATTGAAGAGAAAGTTATTTTGAAGGATTTCTTTGGAAAGTATATAGGCGATGAGGCTTAAGAGGGTACATGATAGCAAAGAGAATGCTTTCATATTCTCCATGGATTTTGCTTCACGGTGCTGAATGAGTTCTTCAATTGATTATTGCGAGATTATTGATAAGATAACTACAATAAAGTATATTTGCTCATTTTGAGATGGAGTACTAGTATTTTAAAGTGCTGAGGACGTATTAACACGGCCTCCTAAGGTACCGAGCTTGTAGCCAATCGGATGTTCTCAACATGTTGGAAACTCGCACCCTGTAATCTGACGACAACCAACATACCCGCCATCCCCCCTTCTTTTATCACACTTCACGCTTACACGACGTGAACGATCTTCTAGACTTTTACTCCAAAGCGAGAAGAAAGCGCTTTGGCCCCGTTATGGGCAATCTTCTGTCAATATCAGACTCAGGCATGCTCACTATCGACGCCCTCCCACCAAAGCCTCAGAATCCACCACCTCCTCATCCAGACCCAGTAGTCAAACTACTCACTCCAACTATTTCTGGCGGCCTTGAGTCATTCCAAGCTTTCCCTAAATTGCCCATCGAATTACAGGCAAAAGTAGTAAGTGACAAACTCACTTGTTCGTCATCCTCGCTTGCTATCGATTTGGGCCACTGGGTTCCTGAGGATCATTTCAACCCTTCTCACACAGATTGCCCACAGAGAATATGATTTAATCTGCTGCAGTGGAGACACGCACTTGAACCTTGTTCCGTGACGCATCGCGTACTTCGAATCATCTACAACACCACCACTAATGCATATACATATGCTTTCAACATACCGCCTTTAATGACGATATGCCAAGTCTCACGAAGAGTAGCACAACTCTCATACCCATCGTTGATCCCAAAGTTACAACATCCTGTTTATTTCAACCCTGCCGTGGACTTCCTCTACTGTACCTCGACACACGATTGGTCAAGCATCCGGAGTCAAGATGAAGTTTTCGCCACCCTCTCGATCCTCAATTCTTCTGTGATCCTAGAACACATTCGGTTTCTTGCTGTCGATTACTCGTACTGGTCTCATCAATCTTCTATAAATAGCCGTTATGTACCACCAGACACCAATGCGATTTGCCAATTGCCCGAACTCGGGTTATTCGCGAGCCTCGAAGAATTATTCCTTGTCGTCCCATCTCTCGAAGAACACCTTATTTGCCAGAGTAAGGGATTTACACTCGTCACAGATCCTTACAAAAGAGCCCAACTACTGGAAGCACGATCCAAAGCCTCGACAGCATATGACGCCGCGCTTCCTCCTTCCATCATGCCGGGATATCGTGTATATGCAGGACCGGAGGTTGATTTCTTGAGGAGGTGGGAGTTGGAAAGATGTTTTGGACTGGCAAATCTGCCGTACTTTGGAAACAGTGGAGTCGGTTGGAAGAGCGATACATATAAGGAGAAGGACTCGCTCGGGAATCCCAGAAGGGTATTGAAATGTACGGAAATCAGACCCTACTCGAAGTGAGCATTGAAATCTGCGAGTTCGGATGGTATGCAGATCGCATGTACGAACACCTAGATCTCGGAGGAAACACCAAAGAACAGGATTGGCAATTCAAAATCTTTTCTATCGCAATACCGTTGAGTTCCCAGCAGAGTTGTGAAACACCTCAAAAGCTCAGTTTAGCAGTAAGCCAATAGCGGCAGCAATAACAACACAACACTTCCAATCGTCCCCATACCGCCTCTACTCAGCATAACAGCTTCACTTTTCGCACTACTTGTACTCGCCGCCCCGGAAGAATTTGTGGTAGTCGCTTGTGCGACCTCAGCACCCCCCAGATACCAACTCCCAATGTCCGTCAAATTACCAACCCCGTCTATCATTGAGGCATTCCACCCCACATTACTCGCTGACGCTCTGAAAGCCCCGAAATAAGAGTATCGCTCCACGCTGGTATCGTTATCGAAGAGAGTGATGGATTGGTTGAAAAATGTCTCGGTGGCCAGAATGGGAGAATATGAGAGCGCGAATTCGGTGATCCAAAGTGGCATGCCCGGATATCTAGCATATAAGAGTTAGTTTTGAGACTCTGTACCGAAACTAGAGGAACTGACTTCTGCTTGTACTCATCAAGATAAGATTCCACGTATGAAATGTTGCCAAAGATATGGATATTCATGAAATCGGCCGTGCAGTTCGATTTCCGTTTCTGACACGCAGAATAGAAATTATCCAGCCATGTGAACCCCGATTCGGACGCAAACACGACAGGTGCGCCGACCTTGATACCCATCTTCCTTAGCGGATCAAAGTTCAGAATCCAACTTGCAGCAGCTAGATCAGGCGATACCTGACTGCCGCTCGCCGTGAAATTCACATCGGGCTCGTTGAAGCTAAGCACATGCGTGATATTTCGGCCCTTGTTGATTAAAGAGGTTACATTTGAGAGGAAAGAGCTTCCAGTCGTATTGCTGACGCCCCATTGCATAGGCACGAATTCGATGTCGTCTTGCGTGAGATTGCTGTAGGCGGAAGTTGGCGAGAGGCCGTAGTTGTAATACCAAGTCAAGCCATTATTAGGTTGAACGAATAACTGATCGTCGCCAGGATTGTTGGTCGAGACGGATACGAGACCGCGCTTGGGAGATTTGGGGTATTGGGCGAGGATCGGGGATGCAAAAAGGAATGTGAATGCAAAAATAGAAAGAGTGGCACGCATCGTGAAGATTTCACAGTGAAGTGAATCTCGGATGCTAAGTGTAAGAATGACGCCGCGAAATGCGAGAAGAGGCAGAGACCGAGATGCACGAAAAGAGAGGAATATGGAAAGGGAAAAGGAACGCAGTTTATAATGATTAAATGGCATTGTCAATGTCTTAAGCCCAATTCGGAGTGCGCTGAAACTGTCGACGCCACAGATTCGAGAGAGCGTTTAGTTTCAATAGCTGTCCTAAGTGGGAATGTGGCGCTCGGTAAAAAAAGGGGACCTCTCGAGAGCGCAAAGAGAAACTCGACAGGCAGATCTCTATCTTGCAAGGCTTTGCAAAGACCGCGCTCGTCTCAAGGAATCTGTTGATGCTGTTTACCAATATATCTTGCCTGTACAATTTCGGGCTTGGTCTTTTGCAAGCTGTGTCAAAAAAGCTGCCCCCAGCAAACGACAGCGGGACGCAATATTACAGGGAGCTTGAGGCTTAAGCCACCAAGCAAGCCTCTACGCTTTATCCCGGACAACAGGGCATTATACCCATTGGAAATCTCGAACACGATAGTCAATTTTTCGCATTGTTTAGATAAGAATGAATGGTCAGCCTCGATTCGGAGAAGAAGAGCCCTAAATGCGACAGCAGAAAACCTTTGGAATTTACCTACTTGCTTGGAGGACACCGAGGGTCATGTGACATGGCGGGGTCAAAAAGTGGGGCTTGAGATATTTTCATTTCGACTTTTTGGAGTTATGATTGTCCGCCTAATCCTGGGACATTCGCAGATTTAGATTCTATACACAAACGTCTATACTTTTCATTCCTCTCTACTCCTCTTCTTTTCGACCTTCCAGGACTGGTCTGCCACCAGCATCCCTCACAATTCTATCCATCTTGCTACTGTCCTTTGGCAGAACCAAGTTCAAGAATACGCCGATCACAGCCGCGACGATGAAGGGAGTCTCAACGATGAGATTGACACCTTGTTCAAAGCCTTGCAGATGGACATTCGCTCCGCTGTAATCGAGAACTTGGTCGAACCAACTCGGCTGGACGATATCGATGAAGCCAATTCCCAGCGATGCGGTCAGGATGAATCGATTACGACGAGTCCATTCGATCAGTCCCAACACACGAACACCTGCGACCGCGATGGTACTATACAAGAAAACTTGCATCCCTCCAAGTACCGATGGTGGCTACACAATGTCTGTCAGAAATGAGAAGATTGGAAGAGGTAGGAAGACATACCATGCTCCCGAAGACTGCTCCGAATTTTCCGAATATACCCATTAGGATCAAGAATCCTGACGCACACCATCCTGCTCTTCGACTTGCACATCCTGTTAGGGAGATGACGCCGTTATTTCCTGCTTGTGAAACCATCGGCAGACCTGTTCCGAAAGCGCTGATCAAGCTACCAAGTCCATCGCAGAGGATACCGCCTTGGATACGACTGTTGAATTGCGTCCCTTCGATATCTACATTGGAAATTTCCGCGGTCGCTAGGATGTCAGGCATACAGGAGACGGCTTCGCAGATGAACATGATCAATAGGGGGAGGACGAGGGCACCGTCAACAGAGAGTTTGAAAGTGTGGACCCAGAGGAATGTCACTGCGGGTGCTGCATCGATGTTATCTCTGGACCAATACCCCGTCGCTCCCGAAATCGCACATCCAACTGCGAGACCGAATATGATTGAGGCAGACTTCATGAGTGGCGAACCGAATTGCTCGACAACGATGACAGTAACGAAGACGCTGAAGCCAAGACCGATGAGCTTTGGATCTCCCCTGCAAGATTGGACATTAGCATATGGTGAAGGGAAAAGCTGAATTTAACAACATACCATGGCAGTGGTTTTGGTGCAGCGGTGTTTGGGCACAGTGCATAAAATCCTGTTCCTCCATTGCAATTACTCGAACCGCCCCAGTTTTGCATGCCATTACTAATGAGATACACGCCGACGAGGAGCAGCAGACTTCCAGTTACAATCTTTGGAAAGATCTTATTGAGCTTCTTGGGTGGAACCATCGACATGGCGATTTGGATCCAAACGGTGCAGAGCATCGTCCCAAGAATAGCTCCCCAAGCATCAGGACATGGCAATTGTGTACCATCGGCAGCAGTTGGGCACGTTCCGTTCTTGTATCGCATAGCTGTATAGTTGAAAGCGATTGGGAGGATATCGAAAGTAGGTCCAACCACAGAGAGCAGGCCTGTTCCGATGAAGAACGGCGTTTTCGCAATATGAACTCTGGTGACCTGCAAGGCGGTCGCAATACCAGTGGTAATGAATGCTGCTGAGACGAGGTACTGAGTAATTTCTTGGTCGAAGTAGAATGCCCCACCAGCAATGGCCAAAGGCGGCGAAACAATGGATCCGATCATGGTGAGTGCATGTTGCAGTCCCAACAGGAGAGTCAAGAGAATTGGAATTTCGTCATTGAGCCCATAGAATGGAGCTTCATAGTCTTTGTATCTGCGGTTCAGGGGCCATATATTGGGAGTAATGAGGTACAAGTAATCCTGGACTTTTGTCAGTTTCGACTCAACGTATGCCTTTGAAGTCTTACATAGTCACCAATCCAGCCTTCGCGACTTGTGAAGTAGTGCTTCCAGTATCCCCAAGTGTTCTTCTGCGACTGCATTACTTCTCCCGTAGATGAAGAAGCATACTGGACATCTTGCTCATGGCCGAGCTTCTCGATACTGGCTGGAGTCTCCATTTCACGAATTCTTGTCAAAGCAAAGATTGAAAGTCACAATTGAAATGCTGATGAGATTCAAATTTTAACATTGCGGAAACGCTCTTCTATAAAACTTTCATCTCCATCTTACTTGCGTCTGATGAGCTTCATCTCAAGATCCTGGAGCTCTATCACGAAGAGTGGGAGTGATAAGATCCCAGGAGCTCTCCGCGGCCAATCAGCGCTGCTGCATTGTTGGCGATGGTCCCTTATCACTGTCGGAGTCGCCCGCCGAAGCCTAGAATCTGGGGAAGCCCCACTCCACAACGATTTGTACGAGAAAATAAAAATGTGCGACTTTTGAGATATCGATTTTCAATCGGTACATTCCTATCGTTCTGCAATATTGATTTTGGTCCGGTTCCTCGGATATGGATGGGTGTGAATAATGAACTCTCATTAATGCACCCCTTGGCTTCGATTGTCACCCGAGGACTGGTTCGGCTCACGCCTCGAAAATTCAGCTCTGAGACAAGTCTCTGAAGGTCATACTCCAGAAGACTTAGTTTAGACGAGCTTCTTCTTTCACATTAGGTGTCTCAATGTTTATCCCGTAAAGAACAAGATTGCATCTCAAGTGAAATTCCACTTTTACTACTCTTCGTCACATGATATTTAGTTTGCAGCGCTTTCTTCTGTTTCGTTTCCAGGCTATCACTTCCTGCTATTGCATTTTAGTTCTAGATACCATTGCATTTGATTTCATCACTGGCCTTGGTTCTTACGCTTTAGGCTTCTAGAAGAATAATCAGCTCATGAGGTCAGATGATATTTTCACTACCAGAACCGGACGACCTAGCTCTCCCGCAGCTGTCAAATCTAGTTCAGCCTATCAATTGACTTGGAGTAACTTCGTCAGTGATTAATAGTCCATAGCGCATAAGCCGTCCCATGATGGGGCCACGATATATCTTAAAATCGGTACGAAGAACGTCATGGAAGCCACCAAGAAGGCATCGGTCAGTAACGGACTGTGAATCTCCCACAATGATGAGTTCATACATCTTCGTCTGATATATATTTGAACATTGTGCATAATCCAAAACTTCTTGACAAAAATTATTGAACAATCTCCCCCCAAGCTGACGAAGAACCCTCCGACCAACCACGCACAATGGGCTTTCCACAATGGTTGTCTAGGATGAAGAGCTTCGGCTCGTCATCTGAGAATCCCTCCCAATCTGAAAATGACACCGAGATGGCAGACTTCTCACCTCCCCGCCATCGCAGTGAAGAGATGCTTGAAGAAATCAATAACGGAACATATGTCTCCTTGCGTGATGGGCGCAAATCCTCGCTGACGTTGTAGCCTTCTGTGCGCTATCTGTACAGACTCCATTACTCGCGCGGATGTCGATGGATACAAGTTTTGGCAATGTCTGGATTGCCATAATGTGTGCCATATCCAATGCGTCCAGGCAATGTACAGTTCTCACCTCAACGATTGGCGTTGCCCATCTTGTCGCGCTACCCAGAGGCCACTCATTACAGCCACATGTTGGTGCGGCGGACGACCCAACGCATGCCATGGTCGCTGCCTCCGACGAGTGGTATGCACTCACGGACAATCGAAGACTTGCCACGAGGCCTGTCATCCCGGACTTTGTAAAGCTTCATGCACCAATATATGCTCTACGTTGCCTGCACATGTGACCAGAGAGTCAACAAGCTGGGACAAATTTCGTGACAGGTTACGGAGGAACAGGCAAGGATTTGGTGCAGCCATCGCACTTGAGTGTACTGCTCTTGCGGTCATTTATGGTTTGGTCTGCGTCCTTCTGGTCTTCTTCGCGAAATGGCAAAACGAACCATACAACTACCCATCTTGGGAGAAGAAATACGAAAACTGGGTGTCTTTGTTGATCATCTTAGCATTTATATTCTTGATCATAATCACTGGGGTCCTTTCTTTGCATTTGGTGGAAATGGGATCGAAGATATTCAGCCCTACTCTCCGCCTGGAAGATATGTCAACCAAAAGCAAGCGGAAGATGTGCGCCAAGCTTGCAGGTTATGTTCTCGCTGCTATAATCGGTGGTTCTACGATCCTTCCCTTTATTGGGTAAGTCAGAAACCGCAACTTTGAACCACACTTGCTCATGAATCTAGATTCTTTGCTGGTGCTCCCATCGGATGGTACAATCAGATGAAGGATTCTTGCAATGGATTTAACATGAGAGTCAGCATGAATTCGGGTAAGAACCGCTCTCATATTTCAACTTCGAAATTGTTTTCAAGCTGACAGATATCAGAGTATCGTTTCAAGATTCGCTCGGTGACGCCCGATGTTCGGTCTCGCGAATTCTTCTATGCTTCTCGCTTGGAGCCAGTTGTACAGGGTAACGAAACATTCCAATACTTCCATCGAATCTCCGGGAGCACGCCTCAAACCAAACACATTGCTGTCGATGTCGACATCCAAAACAAAGCATGGCGTTTGTTGAGACTCAACGGCACCGACAATCAGAACGAATGGCTAGGCTATGGCTCTAGACACACCAATGTAACCAGGCTTCCGAAATTCTTCACCCTCTCAGCACACATCGTGCAGAAGGGGACAATGAGTCTTCATAAACATCAAAAACACATGCATATTCCAGAGCTGAATATGAGCGCCTCCAACATGAAAGACTTTCTACACTCCGTTAATCAAGAACCCTTCCTTCGAATTTACGATACCCGTGGTCTCAATGATGATCAGGTGACTTCTTTGCTGGACAAGAAATGGTCCAGCAAGTCGGACCCTAGAGTCATCATGCGTACCGCCGCTTTCGGACATGGTAGGAAAACGCTGGGATACAGTAGACGAAGTCTGTATATGTGCGTGCGGGAACATGAAGGATACTCGTCGGATCGCTTTGCTGAACATGCTGCGCCTCGTCATGTGGTTGGGATTGACGACAGAAATCTGGTTCCGTTGGCGATTGTGTGGGCATTGAGAGCAGACAAGGGAGATCGATTTGAGATTTAGCTGTCGTCTTAGCTAACGATCTTGACCTTTCTATACACTCTGAGAGACGAGGGACTAGGTCTCATTCTTTCGGATATTATTTTTACTACCCAGATTGAAATTGGCCCATTCTCGTACATTCAACTCCAATCCAGCTTCTTTCCCTTCTCTTCCTTCGCCCCAGGTGGCCGTCTCATAACGAAAAGTGCCGTCTTTCCACCCTCAGCTCCATAATCACCCAAGTCAAAATCAATCCTCTCCAAGATCTCATACCCCATCTGAACAAACAATGCCGAAGCCCCCGGTCGAGCACGAACATGTGTCGCTGCTCCTCCCGCATCGGCAATCTCATTTAATTTCTTCGTGAGCATACGTCCGATTCCCTGGCGCTGGTACTCAGGACGAACCATTGTATTTTGTCTCTCTATTCCAGCTATTAGTCCCGAACTAAGTCGTCAAAGAGAGACCTACGGAAATCTCTCGTAGGATCAAACCCATTCTTCGCAGCAGCAGGCAAGATCCGATTTTGAAACAAGTCACAAAGTCCCTCATTTCTGCCTGGAGGAAATATATACGTGCTATTCGCCGCCTTTTTCTGTTCTTCCGTAAGGACGATCGGTTTTCCGAATCCAGCCCATCCAAGAATCTTCCTTTAGTTCATCTATTTAGTCTTCACAAATAATCCTGAACAAGGAAGTAGAAACGCACCCATTTTCATCTACGACTTTCCAAAATTCGCAGGCGCCATATTCCGTCCCTTTGACGATTCTCGGCACTAGGTTGTCGTAGATGAACTTATATTCTTCTTCAAGGGAAATGGTGCCTTTCATGCCCGTCCAGAAGGGATCAACGATTAAGGCTGCCTGCATCGTTTCGGCGATTTCGGGAAGATCGGCGGCGGTTGCTAGCTCGACGGAACGGAAAGCGGGAGCTGGTGGTTCTGTGGATGACATTTTCGCAATTGCTTTTAGTAAAAAAATTCTGGGTGGTAATCAGAGAGGTGGGCTTGTTTTAATACGTGATGCAGAAGTTTGACAAATTGATATGAGCTGTTTGCAATTTCCGGAGCAGCAACCTGATCTGGCGTCTCTGCCTAGCGCTGACGTTTGTGCGAGTCACTGTGGGTCAACACCGCACTTTTGTTCAACGTTATAGGTCTTTTTGTACGAGATGTAAGTTGCCAAGTCAGCAAAACATTGTTGCATCGTGATCGTTCGCTTAGATGAAAAGGGGCGAGGTGGGGTGGTGCGACGTTTGAATACTGCTCTGGAGTTTAGGACTTCCACCACATGAATCCTACGAAACGGTATCATCACTCTATTTTAAGTCTTGATATCTCGTTCTTCCACAGAGAGTAACGGATCTTGAGTTCATTCGTTTCTGCTTCTTCGCTCCTTTGCACGCTTAACAAATATGGCTTTGAGATAATCATTACGACTAGCATTCAACGGTACTTGCTGAGCAGCGGAGATTCAAGGTTGCGAGGTCCTCAAATTTCTTTGAACAAGAAGATGAGCCAAGTTGCACGATCACGAAGCATGAACTCCTTCTGGATAATTTGACCTTCCGGGATGAAGGTAGGAGGATGCACAGTTACTCAAAGAGCGGCATGTACACTATTTTCTTGGTCACGTTCACATTTGCGTTAAAAGGGTGATATTTCGATAAAAATACATGGATTGTCTAATTTACATCTAATACATACTTACCTGTATACTCAACCGCATCTAGAGCAACTTGTTTCCAGACCCATTGCGCGAAGTGGGGCGCAGACGTTACATTCGCGTTGAGGAGCAGCGAGGAGAGTGTTCAGTGCAAGAGAGAGAGCTTCCCTCTGCTTAGGAGTGAAGTCTGCTAAGGCTGGCCATGGACCGTTGGGAATACCAGTAATGGCGACAAGAAGTTGTCTGGCGAGAATGGGGTCTTGCAAGATCCTGTTGATGGTGCTGGAATCCATTTTGGAATCCATTTTGAAGGTGATGGTTGAGTTGTTTGGTTGGATTGAGTAGATTGAGTTTAGATGGTCTGTTTGGGTGTAGGAGCTGAAGATGATGTTGATGTGTTATGATTTGAGGGTATCTAGGATGGAAATGACAATGGTATTATACTTGAGGTACTTTAATTGTTCCAAATTCCCGTTGTCGCCGACCTTTATGAGTGAAAAAATGGGTTTGTTCTATGGTACTTGTTAGTCACACTTCTTTGACATGTTTGTTGAGTGTCCTTTCTTGATATTGATACAATCGCTTTGTGCTTCGGGCGGGATGAAGAATCTCTTGTTGCTTTCATGCCAGAGGCAAAAAAGTTCAAGATTAACGGCTTTTCGGCTCCGAGAGACAAAGATCAAAGTGCTGAAAGAATATTCGTTCTCTTGTTCTGTGCTGCTATGGGTGAGACAAGCGAACAAAATTTGACGATAGAGCTGCTAATTTCAGGACATTAATCTGTGTCTGGTGTTGGAGCTTCGGAAAAGGGGATTCCCTACTGTAACGCAAACAATAACAGAGCCGCAGTTTCTCTGCGGCTCCCTGCACAGCCCCTGTCCGCTGTACTTTCCTAAACTATTTGTAGATATATCTCATGCACTCTTTCCCATTAAGTTCACACTATTGAGCCTCGGCCCTCAGCCACATTCGCTTGCCCGCATCCTCGATATACTATGTCATTTTAAGTGGTCCATAAGCGAAAGAAAAAAGTAATTCCAGGTTCAGCTGAGGCTGAAGTTGTGACACGGCTACGCTGCTTGCGTGCGGAGTTGGTATATATCCACGCTGGTGGCTTGCGAGCAGTGTTCTAGAATGAATGTACACACTCAATATCTGCACTCTAGACGGTGTTGGATCAAGTGCTGTTCAATGGCTGCAATTGCTGAATTGTTGAAGGTGCTGCAGGAGTTTTTGTGTTGTGGTTTCATGCTTGGGACATTCATATTTTCAAAGCAGCCGATCTGTTCAATTGAATCCCTAACTCGAAAGCATGCTGAGGCTTGCTTTTTCTTTTTTCCCCCCTCGGTGGCTGATTTCGACATATTGATGGCGATATCGCAAACTCTAGCTTTCTAGATCTGAGACATGCAGCCAGCCAAGACTTGCTATTGTTATCGCGCATAGCCGCTCCACATTGTTTGTTCGTGGAGGCTCCAGATGCGGGTGTCTGCTATGGCTTGGTTGCACTCCCCTACACTTTATCCGCAATGGTTGTTGAGTACTTTATTCTAATATTTATCAAATCTTCCAATTTCTGCAGTTTTGCTCTTCTTGTGGAACTCTAGCTCCACTTCTCGTTCTCGCTATTTTCTCAGGTTCTCACTCAAGTCCTTCTCAGTCCAGCATTTTCAGACTTCCTTCAGCGCCGGAGCATCAGGAGAAGATGGCTTCGGGGCTTCATTTTCCAAACTCCCATCTCGAAGGGTGGTTCACAAAAACAATTCCCCTGATCGCTCTGCTCATCACGACGACTGTTAGCACGGCCCTTCTCTACCTCAACTTAACTCGTTGGAACTTTCAACATGTAGCATGGACATCGGTACCCAGTTTCATGGCCGGTATCATCCAAGTAGTGGTCGAAATCTTGGCTGCTGTGCAGATATTTGCTTTGCTCACCCTCGTCAATTTCGCAACACGAATAGCCCTGTGCAGGTCGAATTCAACACTGGATGTTCTGAAATACAGAGCCGCAATATGTCTGGGACGCATAGATCTGTCACTCCCATGGCTGAGTATGACATTGGTTATACTTGTCTACGGCCTCATGAAAGTCCCAGCTTTTCTTTGGGCCAATTCTCTCGCGCTATCTCCCAGCGTGAGAACTGGCAGCAATAACCTTTATGTTCCCATTCTTGGTGCCGACAACTTTATTCACAACTTTAATGGCGACGAACTTAAACATTGCTGGAGGTCCCCTGCCTCTTTTCCGAATCAGGGCCTTTTCCTTATGGCCGGGCCGTACAGCAGCTGCCCTGGCCGCGATTTCGTTGATGGCCTCCTCGAAGCAGCGTCTACTGTGTCTCTCGCGAACGCCGATTATCTTCCTCGAATCGATGTCGACGGGGCTTTCTACTCTGGAAGGTCTTATGGCGTGGGTGCAGCTGTTGGCCATTCCGATACCCAACAATCTCAAAATTGGGGTGATAGTGTCCTGGCCAGTTATACGTATCAAGATCTTGGCTTCAACACGGAAGTCCTATGCAATTACAACTCGTCACTGACTTCTGCGGACTGGTCGTTATGGCAGCTCCAAGCTGAAAATAAAAACGAAGGCATTCCCGCCATCTTTGAAGCAAAGGGTCAGCTTCCAGACGGCAGCAACATCAACAGTACTTCTTTCTATACTACTTGGGGCTGGTCGGTAGATGAAACCGTAGCATGGCAGACCACAAACTCGACATATAATCCCAACTACATTTCTACTGCCGCTGGCTTCAATTACAAGTTCATGAACGCCACCCAGTGCACCATAAACTTTATTCCAACGATGTTCGATATTATGGTCACGTATCCTTCGCAATCAAGTCCAAATATGGTCATTACTGTGACTCCAAATAGTGACGAACCTTTAGAGAACGCAGTGGATCCTACATGGCATCTACAAACTTTGGTTCTGGAACAAATTACAGCATTGTCGATGGTCAGCACCACTCTATATGGGTCTGTCTTGGGCGAGGCTTTTCTAGCCAACGCCCAGGCATGCAGCAGCAACGCTACAAACACTGCCCAATTTACCGACAATAGCCTCTTACCATGTATGCAACAGTCATGGGAAAGCATCATCGACAACCTCCTCCTCCTACTCACTGCTGCCCAAATCGTCGAGTACAGGGAGAATAATGCGAATGGCCCATGGGACCCTGCACAATTTCGAGAAGTATTCGATAGAGAGAATGGCATAGCATCCCAAATCGGGACACGGATGTACATTTTGCTTACCTGCGCTCTGAATGCAATATGCCTTATCATATGGATCATTGAAGCCTTCCGATGGTCGTTTTGGAAAGATCTACCTAAGTTCAACATATTGGATCTCAAAAGTGCAGTTCTGGGAGGTGCGATGGGGGGAGGTAGCATTGTCGCCACGATTCGAGAAGTTGAAAGCCCCAAAGCTCCATGGACCGGTGCATCGGACGACGAGAAAGTAGGCGAGATACAGGTGCAAGTTGCTGTTATTGACGCTGATGAGAATCTGAAGAGAGTGTCCTTGAAAGCAAGTTTGGGCACTGGCAAAGTGGGTACTATCGGACGAAGACCTTGGGCTCCATTCTCTTACGACAAGGTTTCGGGCGAGGAGTCTGTACAATCGTTTTAATATATGAGAAACTAGGAAGTGTTGTCAGCAGAAATAAGCACTAAGAAATAACAGTTGGAGTATTCCTCTCAAGTAGTAGTAGGCGTTGGTAGTTCAGGATTTGTAGACCAAGCTAATAATAAATACTCAAGTTGTTAGCTCAAGAATGCCAAAATTGAACGGGAATGCTAATAGGGCGTGGCCAGGCAACACGTGATCGTAAACAAGACACTCTTCCAAGGTTCTCGCCACAACTTACGCAGGTAATGGAATTGAGAGTGACGATTTGCGAGATAGTCGATGAGTACGATGTCAAGAGGATAATAAGGATGAGCAATGCTCGTTCTCTGTAGCGCCTTCAAATGCGGGGTCATTGCGGGGTATTGTGAGTATGAAGAAATGGTTGCCGTCAACGAGGTATTTCATGTAGACAGAAGCGATAGCATCAGTACCAAAAGCGTGTATATATATATAGCATGAAATTGGTGTTAGCTTAGGAAATTTATATATCACAAGCAAGGGTTCTGTTTTTCTGTACCACCAAACACTTGTCCAATCAGGAAGCGACAATATATCAATGATGTAGGCACGAGCTGAAATTCGCCAGAGCTTTCATCACGACCTTCGAGTATTTTCCCTCAGCTGAATGCGCAATGGACGATTTGAAGCATATTAAGCGTGACCAGTTGTGTTCTGTCTGTCGCAATGCTTTTAACCAAGGAGACACGATTCGAAATTCCCTCAAAAAGATGTCTGGAGACGTCTTACCGTCCCACACATAGACCTCGGAATTGGTCGCATCAGCAAATGTCGGGTGTTTGCTATGTTCACGCTTCCTTGAAAGCATGAAGTCATTGACAGAATACTGCTCTGGCATGCTTGTCCGCATCCAGTCCAGCAACATGAGGATAACATCAGATGCATTCGCATACCGGGGAGCAGCAGAACGATGGATAAGCCCTGTCTTGCTATCAATAAGGTTGGAGGGAGATTCGGATGTTCAGAGCAACATGAACCATTCCATCTCCGTTGAGTTAAAGGCCTCCTCGGCTTCAGGTGCGGGCATAAAATCGATTTATCGGAATTGTATGCTAAAGTCATGTGAAGATGAAGTTTGCTTAAATCTTGGCCCCTCTACAAATTCAGTCTCTACGCTTCCGTATATAAAGAAGTGGCTCTGGACATGCCAAAATACCCATAGCTGCCCTCTGTATATGGCATCCCGTCCACCAACACGACTCTTTGAGATCTCTGGTGACACTGCCCGTCTCTGTATCACAGGCGAGAAACATATCAATCCGCTATATGTCACCCTAAGTCATTGTTGGGGCAAACTCCCATTCTTCAATTCAGGACGATGAAAATGACTGGCGACATGAATCTGCATTGATGAGCCAAGTCTATGGGCATGCGGTGGTCAATATAGCTGCCACTAAAGCACCCAATGGATCGTCTGGTCTCTTTGCTGAGCGAAACCCTTCTATGATCGAGAGATGCTTCCTCAAGACGAATACTTTAGACGTCTTGGAACTGTTTGACCATGAAGCATACCAGCGCTGCGTGGCAGAGGCACCTCTATCCACGAGAGGATGGGCTTTCCAGGAACGCTTTCTCTCACCTCGCACGTTACACTTTACCAAAGAGCAGGTATTCTGCGAATGTCACAAAGGCGTAGTGTGTGAGACATTTCCAGAAGGTATACCGAGAAGGCAAATTCTACAGTCTACCTTTCCTCGGAACAGAACCGACAGTTCTTCATAGATTCAATCTGTTACCATTTATTCCAACACGGTGCTCACTTTTCCCAGAGACAGATTAATCGCTCTTACCGGAGTAGCTCGACACTTCCAGAATATCTCTGGAGACAAGTATATTGGTGGCCTTTGGATTCAAGGCATTGAACGGCAGCTTTGTTGGCGGGTTGACATTGACCACGATTTCCGTGAAGACACCGAAGTCGCAGTATACTAAGCGCCATCATTCTCATGGGCAAGCATCAATCGCGCCATCACATGGAAGCTACGCAGCCACTTGGACATCATCACTGATCCTGATGTTGTGATCTTGTCGCAAGTAATACAAAGTTCTGTTGTGCCTGTCGGCTCAGATGAGCTAGGTGAACTACGCGATGCGACGATTAAGCTCAACTGTAGAACATTAATCAAACTGTCCATCCATAGACCACAAACTGTCTACTACGACTCTGGTAGAGTAGACCAGTTCCGTGATGGATACGAGGGCCCAAGCTTGGGCTTAAGCTTAGGACAAGATGAAGAATTCTTCATTCCGATTCTACTTACAATATCGGAATATTCTTTCAAATTTTCTAACAGCCCTGATGCGCAGCCTTCCATGTTCAGCGTATATGGCCTGATAGCCATACCAGTTTCTTCTCGAGGACAAGGCCACTATAAAAGGCTAGGACTCGGCGAGTATGTTTTCAAGGCGGTACCATCCATGAAAGAATTTTGAGCAGATTTTTCTTGCACAAAGGATCATTCTTGAAGACTCTTTACCAGGAGACTCTTGAGCCAGCGGAAGATGGATCACCAAGATATAACATCACCATTCTCTGAGAATGTAGTGTAAACATCAGAACTTAATACAAGAGTAGATATTTTGGATAGACATTTTCTTGTCCTGTTGGAAAGTTGCCTGATCGGGCAGGCGCTAACCCTGAAGAAGCTAATTTGGGAGCTGCAGCCTGGCGCAAGCGAACCGAACAACAAAACCACACTCGAATTCCAACATCTCGATCTCTTCACGAACCTCAAACTCGAGAGATTGTCCAAGCAAAGTTAGTTCCGCATCAATTGGAGCAGCTCCGTCGGTATGTAAATATTCAAAAGAAGCTGAGCGCTTGTGCTTACTAACGACATGTGAAGCCACCATGATGTCAGTCGGTCCCAGAACAGATTTCACACAGCTGCTCGACGACAAATCTTTAATGCTGATGAATCAAGATTTGTTGAGCATCGAGTACATCAACCACCTTGTGGCTTTCAAAACAACGAACATCACGACAAAAGGCGGCAAAGTCCTTCCCATCGAGCTGTGGAACATTATCCTCGAACTCACGTTGGCTGGTAGCAAAGGCTCCTACTGTTTTGTCCAGGCCACGCTGTACAGGAGCTATCGACAGAGAGGATCCTGTGGTGCCGCAGAGTCGAATTAGACAGTGTACGGCCTTGCAGATATCTGAGGTCTCGCAACCAGGTTTTGTCGTTCGAAAGGTTCATGGTCAAACCGAACGAAGAAGACCCCGATAGATCCCCTAGTCCTTTTGCCCTTCCAACTCAGGGCGAAGAATCCAATATCGATGTGCTGATAACTTCTGCGGATGAGGGACTTTCGATTAAGTCAGAATGTCTGTTCTCTGACCTCACTGTCCCCGATGTAATTTGCTACATGGAAGATGGTAGATGTAATTTGTGTGCTGGAGACCGATTCATCTGTCCAGGTTGTACGAGAGGGCAAGCTCAAAGATTCGATGCATTTATGGGCTGTGGTGTAGATCTTGCTTGTCCTCTTTGCATGGGGCTTGACTTTTGTCTGGAGCATAAGGAGTTTCTGCGGAGATACTACAATGAGGACCAGGCTCCGGACGAGGAGCAGGAAGCTGTAGACGCTTGGATTCAGCAACGACTAGACGAATTTGGCTACAAGGGAGTCAGGGGTTAAGGGGAGAAGGACTTACCTGTAGACGACAAGGTAGTCTCGGGTGATAATTTGGGATTTGAGGCCATTCTCAAAGTGCTCGTTCTGCGTGGGAATGTCGGAGTCCTGATATTTCGCACATGGAGGAGTGGTACAGATTTGGTCTTGACAAACTATACATGGTAAAAGGTTAAGTGTGCGTATCAAAATAACAATCCAAAGGCTATCCCTATCTTCACAGACCCCACAATATCAAGCACAAAGTGAGAACCGACCCTTGGGACGATAGGAGCAGGCAGCCCAAGTCAAGGAATTCAGACAAGACAGGAATATCAGCTTTCAGACGTCAAGTAGCGGGAAGAATTCGAGTATGAATGGGAATACAGCCAACTCATGCATCGTTTCGAAGTCATAGTTGGGTATAGGAATGGTCGGCCTGATCCGCCTGAACGAATGTTGACGACTCAGGAAATTCCATTAATCGAACTGTGAACGCGCACGCAGCAAATCTGCAACTTATAAAGAAAAGAAAGTAAGGCAGGAGAAGGTTGAAGCTATCTCTTGAATTGTCGTAATAATTGCTGCAGAGTTGATACTGTACGAGACTGTGAATGACGGGGACTGTCAAGTCGTAGGACATCGACGTTGAAGTAAACTCGCTTTAGACCAAGCGCTGACCCACTTTTATTGCCAAGCTTAAATGCATCTTCTCTCTTTCATCTAATAGCAACAATTTCTTCGCTATGAAAGCATTGATCTTTATCTTATAAACGATATTTCAATCACCCTTTAACGTGTGATTAGCAAGTCACTACTCCATGGACAGCACTGTACATTACAGTTGATCCCAAGATACGGCCACTCTGATCGGTATGTATCGCCTGACACAAGTCATCTCTTCGAAGGAGCTGAAGGGATGCAGGTACCACAAGGATCACCTGCCAGGAGAGCTATGGGACGAAAAGATGGGATAATCTCACATGCATATTCATAGCTAAGAACTCAGGTCTGCAACGATACCGGGAGCTAAAATGACAAGAACAATACCTCAGCGCAGACAGACACGTAATTTGGCTTCCATTTCCATTTGCCTGAGCATTTTTCTGGTAATCATGTACCTCCGTAGGGACGAATACGTCCTTGCAGCATTGTTTGGACTGTTCGAGTATGGTCACCAGCGGCATGAAATGGTGGTGATGAGATTCACTGCCAAGATGAAGCCATCTGCACGAGATCTTTGTCAAAGGATTGATAAGGGACTTTTCGCCGCCTCGAGTGTGCGAGGAATCAATAGTGTTAGGGTTGTTACCAGTCACGCTATGTTGAAGAGCAGGGCCCGACACTGATGGGGATAAAGCGCCGGCGATCCTGCACAGCAACATCGGATATTGGCTGACAGCTGCAGGTCATGACCTGGAATGACAAACGGCTCTCCAGGCTTCAACCATCCTCCATTCTCCGCCGAATCCGCCTCAAATGACTGAGCACACCAGGCACTGATTTCCCAGGCGTTTCCTCCACTGATGGACGCATCCAGGCAAGGATTATAGCTGATCTAGACTGCATCCCGATGCAGCCTCAACCGCGAAACAGGAACGAAAGTCCTCTCAGGGCAGCCGAGAATATTGATGGCAATTCTTGTCGCGACGCATTAATTCAAGAAATTCCGGAGTCTCCGCATTCTAATAAGCCGCTTTGGCATATCAGGTTGATGCTGGACACGACGAACCATAGGACCGAGTCCTCACAATTGCTGAACTCTGGTCAACAAGCATCTCGGAGGATTAACGGATCACCAGGATCAGGCGGGCCGGAATAATGATGCACCTTAATCGTGGAGAGATCTAGTAAGTGCCTAGTGGCATCTTATCATATCACACCTGCCCAGATGATACATCGCGCTGCAACGTAGTGGTTGACAGACTTGACACCTGCCTAAGAAGTTCAAAATTAGTCTGGATGACCTCCATAGTGCTGCTGGGCTCTTTTGGGGTGGTGTGCTTGGGAGAAACACAGAGTCGCGAAAGCTGGGCGTACTTACGACCCCAATATGTGGACATTTCGAGTTTGCAGAGACATGACATTCTGCTCGGGCCACTTGTCTGGCTGCGGCTCAGCCCTGCGTTTATTTGTTCTCCGTCATTGTTCAGCGTCGAGCCTCAGCCTCTGGCGGAGGGTGAACCTAGCTCCAGTAATTACCGAGAAGGATTCAGGAACAACACTTCAGGCTTCAATGAGCTCCTTATGTTGAATTTAGTCGCTTTTCATTGATTCACCGAGGAGCTGAAAAGGATTGAAATTGCTTCCCAGACTAGTCGATGCTATCAGCCACTCAAAGCGATTCCCCCTTTTCAGAATCGAGCCTGCAGCCGATCCAGAGGTTGCGCGCATCCATCTTGCAAGCCAAGAACAACTGTTTTGTCGATACTCCGCCTATTGCCTTCGTCAAGATACCCCTGGAGGAGTTCTTCAGTGGTCATTCCTCCGAGTCCTGCTCCTAAACTTTCTCTCTAATTTTATTTGGACCCTAGTGTTTCCAACCCATAAGAAATCACGAGAAAGCATACTTGGAGATATAATTGGCTGCTGCTGCAGATTTGGGGAGTGTCCAGGGGGTTCCAAGACATCGGACGAAGCTTTACAAGGAAAGCGTATGCAACGCTACTCACGCGGCTTGTGCAGGAGGGAAGGATGCCCTCTGACTGTATCAATAGCGCAGAACCATGACTTACCGGGTGTATAGCTTCTCTTGGTGGGCGGAGATGGGCAAGTAAAAGTGCTGAACTTCAGCTATAAAGACTCCATCCGCACGAGTGATTGACAGATGTTCTCTTCTTTCCAAGCACCAGTTAGATCATCTTTCATCTCCACCATGGCTCCTCTCGCTTTGAAAAGTTTCTTTCTTACGTCGCTGCTGTCAAGTCTTGTTCTTCAGGTCTCTTCATCTCCTGTAGCTGCTCCTCGGACTCAATATGCAGAGCATGGCTTGCGCAGAAGAGCAAATCTGAATGTCCGTCAAACCACAACCACAAACACCACAACCATTGACTGGGTGCCTATTGAATCTCAAGGCAACATTGCAACACCACCTGCTCCTAAATCCGTCTACGCAGGAAATGCCTCCAAGCTCGTCTCGGAGCTCCAACTGCCTGGTGCTCAACTTGGACCACCGGGAACTGTCCCAATTCCGCAGGTTAGCACTAGCTACCTCGACAATACTGCCTCTAAAGGACTGCCCGAACTTCGATCGTCGAAGTCCAAGTCCAAAAGGCAGTACAGTGGCAATCATTGGTATTCGACTTCTGACCAAAATGTTGCCAATATTGGTGGATCAGCTATTTTCAGTCTATTCAAGGCTTTCGTAAACAACAACGGAGACTTCTCGCTTCTTCAAACTGCTGTCACCAAGTCAGGCACAAATGGAGGCCAGACGCTCGAGGCCGGATGGATCAATTACCCCAATCAAGTGTCCGAGCCCCACTTGTTCACCTACTATACGACCGACGGATACTCGTCCGAAGGCGACGACATCGGAGGCTGGAATCAAGATTATGCTGGCTGGGTTCAATACGACAGTGAGATCTTCCCTGGAACTGTTTTCACTCCCAATAGTGTCGATGGGGGTGACCAGTACGAAATGGAAATTCAATACCTGCTCTACGAGGGCAACTGGTGGCTCTGGGTACTCGACCGATGGATTGGATACTACCCCGCTACCCTGTTCAGCAACAACATCTCGGGCGTCACTCTTGCAACCGGCTCGGATGTCATCTTCTACTACGGCGAGATTTATCAGAGCGAAGGTCCTCTCACCACTACTGACATGGGTAGTGGAGAGTTTGCAGAGACGGGCTCTGGTCACTCAGCATATATCCATAATATGGTGTACACCGATACCAGCGGAAATTCTCAAGACTATACTGCTGGCTTTGGAGACTCGGACTCGACCAGATATGACCACCAGAACGTGGTTTCCAGCGGCACGAGTTGGGGAAGTTACGTCTATCTTGGTGGTCCTGGTGCGGGTGGGGTCGTGGGCGGATAAACAGTTCCCTAGAAAATGGCGTCACTTGAATTTTGGTCTTCACTTTGAACTATTATGTAATTATATGGACGACCCTGATGTCCTAAGTTCCCTACGTATAATTGTAAACTTCTTATATATTTATTTGAAATGCTAAAAATGCTTCGGGCTTGTTCGTCTCACACGCATGTTCGCCAGGAGAGCGCAACTTACTTTACCAGAGCTGTGGAACAATGCGAGTGAGAAATGCGAATTATTCAAGTTAAAAGGGCATTCATATGGGACTTATATATGTCATCATTCGGGGTATTACTTTGTATCTCTGACTTAAGCAGCTGACAATGTCTTACACGCTCTAAAATAATTATTTATATTTCGACTACAGGTAAAGCTGCAAACGGAAGAAATGTCGCGCCCCTATGTCGCCCACTTACGAAAGGTCTCCTTGTTGTACTCCTTCGTGTCGAAAGATGAAGTTCACTACAAAGGAAAAAGACAGACCTGCGCTTCTTTGAGATTTCGGGACAAAAAAGTAATGGCACAACAAATTCACATATTTTCGAGCGAGTTGCTTTTTCACAGTCGATAAATCAAAAAAATGGGTGGAACGTATATATTCAATCAGAGCGCCAAATTCACCTCCAAGACACAGCGCAAATCCATCATGTCGATCTGGTGGTTCATTATCTCACGATTGGTCTTACTTTACATCATCGCCGTTATTTTCACATTTGTCAAGTCTTACAAAGATGATTACGACTTAGCCTCGAGCGACTACCAACCCATGATCTGCTTCTTTTGGAATAGCTTCGAGAATTGCGACCCTGAGATTTCCTCCAACTTAGATAATTATGTGCCCAAGATAAAGGAGGATCCTGCTCCAACTACAGATGCTCATGAGCTCCACCGAGATGCTCCTGAGCACGACGCAGATATTCATAAGCCCGATACAGATGCTCATAAGCTCGATGCAGGTGCTCCTGTACTCAACATAGATTTCGTATCTCTTGAACAAGAGGTCGAGAAGACCGGTCCAGTGTCACACATCAAACTGTATAACAGTCGAATCGTAGATTTGATAGAGTTGAAAAAGATTCACACGAATCTAGCTTCAAAATTCCACAGCCAGCACCTGGAAATTCGCGATATCATGATTCGCATAAAACTCCTCCCAAAAGCTTCGTAAGTTTTCATCCTCTTTCCTATCATTGACTCTCGTCTTAACACCCTGGATAGAAAAACCCTCAAAACTGCTTCGACAGCATACTACGAAAGCTTCGGCCACACAGAGAAGTTAATGATGCTCTTGAACAAAAATATTGATGGGCTTGCATCTTCAACTATACTTTGGAACGTCTTTTCCGTCGGTAGTATCTTGTACCAAGCCCAAAGGTACGACCTACCTCTTTCGGACGCCGAAGCGGAGGAATTTAGCAAGAAGACGAAGGCTTCGCTGGGTTTTGCTGTCGAGAACCTGCTGAAAGATACCACCAAACTTATCTCGAGAGCTAAAGAGCTGAAAGCTTCGAGCGATGTACAGCATATAACCAGTCAACACGCCTCATTGAAGACCGTAAAGTGGTGGAAGGGTAAGCTTGCTCCACATCGCAAGCATTTTAATTCACTTGAAGCGGAAGCCGAGTCATTGGCAAGCTACTTCACGTCAATTAGTACCATCGATGGATTTGCGTCCGAAGTTGAGGAGCAACTCGTGGTGCTGGAGAAGCAATTGAAATCAGTTCAAGGACTGCTCAATGAAGACAGCAGTATCTTGGAAGGGCAGGGAATTGAACAATTCAGTCAAGAGCTAGTTGCAGTGCTTGAACAAGGGCAGGATGTTTTGAAGACGTAAAGGGATACGAGGATGTTCCTAGGAATGCAATATTGGATCTCTGTGACCCAATCAATCATCAGATCAGGACATTTTAAGGCTGCTCTTAGGTTCGAAGAGAGCTTGATTATAGTAACTTTCTTTAGTAATAATGTACTCATACACATGCGTGAGAGAATTGATACGAGAGTGGAAGAAGAAGTGGGCCCAGTTTCATTTGTTATCCAATTGAATTTCTAATGCCATGCTAAAGAACCATTATGCAGAACCCGTGGGAAACGGCAGCTCCCGGTGCAACTTCCTAACAAGTTCACCATAATCCTCCTCATTCTCCTCCGTGATGAACCTATGCCTAATGAAGAAGTCCATCATCACATTCGCACACACACACTTAAATTCCCCATTCCTCATAGCCTCTTGTACATCCTCTACATCCATCAACAAGAACTCATGAACATCCCCATCAACTGGCTTCAATACAATCTCGCCACCAACCTCAAGATCATACACATAGCTAATTCCGGCATTCATGAGACCCAACTCTCCACCAGCTTGCGTATCGCTGATGTACAGCCAAGAGATATTACCTGCAGCCTTTACATGCCCCCGAACAAGCTCTTCAGACATGCCAGTCTCTTCCTCAGCCTCTCTGATGAGACACTCGAGCGGATCTTCTCCAAGGGCAATTCCACCGGCGACGGCATTGTCAAGTTTACCGGCGTAGGCATGTTTCGTGAGATTGCGACGAGCAATCCAGAACTTGATACCTGAAGGCGTCTTGGTGTAGACTGTCATATGTACACCTCTGCCAATGATGCCAAGCAGTGAGCTTGCTGAGCGTTCGACGCCAATCGGGAACTGGGCTCCGATGATGGAGAATTGTTCGTCTCGCTCGGCGCCGAGCTTTGGGAAGACGTTAATGAGTCTGGCAAGATCAAGAAGCGCATCGATGGCCAAACTGCATTCGGCTTGCCAGCTTTCTCCGGCAGGTTGGAGGAGGTGGACTTCTTTCATTGTGGGATCGAGGTGGAAGTCCTTGGTCCATGGCATCTTCTGGACAACTGAGTCGAGGATGTAGCCATGTGGTCGTGGATCGTTGGGAAGGTGGAACGTCCAGAGGGAGGATATGAGCGCTGCATATCGTTCGCGTTCTCCAGGGACGTCGTAGGGAAAGCTATTGTAATGATGAGCGGGTGGAAGTGAATAGTGTTAAGAAAGCGCAACTTACTTATCGCAATCCTTGATGATTTGGAGATTGCTCTTCTTCTGGAGGGGTCCTCCTCGTGGATTGGCATCATGTCTTGACGCCCCTCGATGTTGCTGGAGATGGAATCGCGGCTCTGAACCTGAGAATCCATTGAGTAGAGTGCAGGATCTAGATTGAGATTTGGCTTGGGCGTAAGAAGTGGAATTGTCTTGAGTCTGCGCGCAACTAGGCAATCTCCGGTGCGGTTGGGACAGAATGAGCTGAAAGATTTAGGTCGTATCGGGATTCTCTTGTAAAATAGAAGTTTGATGCGCGAGATGATACTTCAAGTTTGTGGTATGCTGGAATTCAAAGTGTTGGAAAGGTGGAAAGTGTAGTCTAGCTTATATAGACCCCAAAAGTCCACTACTATATCTAGCGCACTCCAACCTTCTAAATTCATCCTCAAGCAAAGTTTATGGCTGCTTTTGGCATAACCCAAACATAGCCTAATTCTGCAGAAGGCTGGTTGACGATTGTCCAAGGTTAGCGGCATATTTACAGCTAAACTATGGATTCTACCAGCCCTACTACTTGCAGTCGTGCGAAATGCCTTGCTCATATATCCACTTAGCACGTATGGAATGGTGTATAGGGTTATGCTCAAAGTTTGCAACTCACGCATGATCTAGTCATCTAAGGCTCAGATACAAATTCTTGATTTGTTTACAAGCGTAGCAGTTAGCACATGATTCACAGATACCGAGCATTACACACCGAAGACCCGATGGAGAACAGTATTTGAATGCCAAAAAGCTCCATTGATGTCCAACTTACCAGAATAGCAAGACCAATATGCAATGATACCCACCACTTGCATGTATTGTAGACACATCCCACACCATGAATTGTTCCACATCCTGCGTTTCTAGTCTTCCTTAGGTACCTCCTCAGCCGCAACTTCCAAACAATCCCTGACAGCCCGTGCCACAATATCCATCTCCACTCCCACACCAGCCCAGCGACGAGCAGCAATCCCCAAATCCGCTCCCCAAACAGGTTCTGCCAAGTCCACAACTGCCATCCACACTCACTATACTACAAGTCCCAAGCGTGACCTGACAACCGTTATTGATCGAACAATGACTGGGGTCTGAACCGCAGAAGCCGTTTGCTGAACAACAGGAAGGACAGGACCTAGTCGAGGAGCATGTTGAGTCCGTGGAGGGGAAGATGGGGGAGTCGCCACTAGGACTATAATTATCTTGTGCTTGTCTGAAGAAAAGATGGAGACCTACGTTCCAGCACCAACTAAATCCATGCTCCAGTACATCATGCCGCCAAGACATTGCTGATCAGCCCAAGCGGACTTCAGTGTCACGGTATCGGCATCATCATACCCCATCCATTGATTACCCCAGCTGATTTGCTTAATCATCTCGTCAGACAGTAACTTCGGAACCAGTCCTTGTTGCTGAATTAAGACTTCAATCTCGCGGAGACTTAACACACCTGCACTGTCCGTACAGGTTCCAGGATTACTGGCACCGGTATATGGACAACTCACATCTGTACAGCTTGGGTCTTGTAGTGTATATCCACGGCCATAGTATGCAATTCCAAGATTAACCTTAGAAGGAGGGACATTATCGAACCACAGAGGGAGGAGGTCAGAAGAGATGTCATTGATAGAGGATTGTGAGCGGACGTCTGCACCGAGAATAGCTGCTTCCCAGGGTCCGTGAAGATCATAGGACATGAAGTTGAAGAAGTCGATTGATGGTGCCATGGCGGAAGGATTGAAGTTTTGAAGAGATGCAAAATCCGGTGGTCTTCGTGGAATGTTAGATTGGTTTCTTACGAGAGTAATATGATATGAGAGGGCCAATGACTTACAATGCTACGCTGATCCCATAATTCGACCCAAATGTGGATCGCATCTCCTGCACCAGAGACACGAAATTTGCTGTATCACTAGGTTGGCCGCCTCGAGACGCCACACCTGGAAACTCCCAATCTAGATCGACGCCATTGAAGCCATACTGTGTCATGAATTGGATGAGAGAATTGATGAATGAGGCACGATTGCCAGAAGAAGAAACCAGGTTTGGCCATGTTGTTTGAGTTGGGCCCGGATCGCTGAAGCTGTAGCCTCCCACTGAGATCCATGTCTGCAGTGACGCTGATTTGCGTGCTGTAAATTGAGCATATAGTGCCGGATGACTGGCTTCCAAAGGGACAACTTGGAAAGAGTTTGGGTCAATGGAAGCAAATGCAAACAGCATGTGAGTGTAGCCGGTGATATCGAGATCATTTGGACCCATTCGGTTGCATTGCCGACCGAGATTGCTAGAATCATGAGTACATATTAAGTTCCATGCAAGTGGACCTACCTGGACTGATAGTACCCAACCTTTCGTCCTCTGGAAGCACTACCAGCACCAGCATCGCAAGAGGGTGGCGGAACAATTTGGCAGCTTCCATAACCTTGCTGGCATGGATTTGCAGTTTGTGCGGCCCCTGGGTTGACGCAGTACAGGCTACTTGTCTATGATGATAAAGTCAGGTCTGCTTCGCTGTCACAAAGTTGAAGTTAACTTACCCCGCAATAGCCAAAATAGCTACAGCAGAGATTCAACGGACAATGCTGAGCCGCATTGAAAGAGTCAACTCCGCACATTGCCTTGGCATTGCAATCTGACAGGCAAACCACTCCAGAGGTAGAACTACAGGTGTAAGATGTGTATCCACATTTTCCCTCCTAATACAGATAAGTATAGCACGTGGAAGTTATTTACTTCGAAAACTCACCGAGTTACAGCAACTTCCATCAGCACAAGCCTGACCTGGGCCGCATTGCGCCGGTGCATCTCTTTCGCGCAGCTTGGTATGTCGTGATATGGCCAAATTCTGGCGGAGGCTGGCTGGTAAGGTGGAATTGCCCGTCGCGGTCGCATTGGCTCCTATCTGACTGATGATATGCTTGTAGCCAATGTCGAGAATTGGCAATGGGCCTGTTGTGACGTAGTCATTCTGTGCAACTGCTCGAGTAGATCCTACGATGATCGATGAACGTTGATGAACAGCTGTGGTGTGATAGCTCGGCGTGAGAAGCACGAGCCAGAATACCCAGAGGGACAGAACAGAATGAAGAGACAACATGATGAAGTGAGTATGGAAAACCGTTGTCAGATTGGATTTGCGCTGGCAGGAATATCAAGTACTTTCCCCAGAAAGTGAATTGAAATAGAAGGTGTGCACTAAACACCACATAGTGCAAGAGCGACAAGGATACTTATCGGATGAACAGATATCAGATGAAAGTCCGAGACATAGCTACGGGATATTCTGAGATACATTATGAGATATAACTCAAGGAGGCTCAATAAGGAAGGCGCAAATGTGGCTGTCTCTTCTGCCGAGCGTGCCTGACAATCTCGACTCCACTCCAGGTTCGTACTGTACCACGTCGTGTGGCTTGAGATAGCCGAGAAGTGTATCCATGTGTTTGGGACTTCGGGGAACAAAACAGCTTCTTCGAGTCAAGGATACCCCGCAGGTAGTACCTATAGGGCGCATGGGATCTTATGGTACTCCATTTGGGGTAATGGGGATTCTGACGGGAGAGGAACAGGGTTAAACCAACCAATGTAGAGTCCATTCAGATGAAAAGACGATAGAGAAATCGTAACGTACACCATTGACACACAATTCATTGCTCGTTACTCATTATTGATTCGACTCCTCACAACCTCGATTTCTCCGCAATCATGGAGGACGAATTCGGCAAGCTCTCGATGCTGTCCCGTGTGATCTGGTCCACGCTTTGAAATCCAGAAACATTCATGAGGATATCGAAGTCGGCCAGTAAGCTCTTCATGACATGTCGAACTCCCAGCTCACCCTTGATACTCAGGCCGAAAACCCAAAGTCTGCCAACGAAGACAAACTTTGCACCCAGTGCCAACGCCTTGAACACATCAGCGGCGCCACGAACTCCAGAATCGAACATGATGTAAGTTTTGTCTCCGACGGCTATGAGCAGGTCAGTGCATGCCGTAATTCCAAACATTTTGACCATACTTACCAGCGACAATCTTCTCTAGAGCATCCAAGCTCGCGATAGCACCATCAACTTGCCTTCCAGCATGATTACTGACCACAATTCCATCCACACCGAGGTCCACAGCCTTCTTTGCATCCACCACACTTTGAATGCCCTTCAAACAAAACGGCTTACCACCGCTAATCTTCTTCCATGTTTCCATCAGCCACGGCATCTTCTCCCAGCTCCAAGCACGACCATGCCATACATTGTCGATCCACATTGCACCAGCCTCGTTCGGTTGAGTCTTGGGATCAATGCCGGCCTCCTTCAGCCTTTTCTGGAAGACTGGGTCGGAAAGTCCTAGATCAGCACCAACTCCATGGTAGAATGCATAATTTGATTCTGCTTCATCATGATGTCTCCATGCCAATTGCCAAGTATCCACTGTAAGAATGCACGCAGAAAACCCGCTATCGTATGCACGCTCCAGAAGAGATATCGTAAGTTCGTCGTCGTGCGGCATGTACAGTTGAAAGAATCGAGGACCATCCCCATTTGCCTTCGCTACGTCTTCAATGGGATTCGAGCCTGCAGTCGACAAGCAGTATGGCAGATTCAACTCCTTCGCTACCTTTGCCACTGGGAGCTCTCCCAGAGGATTGTATATCTTGTTTATCCCAATTGGGGCAAATCCAATAGGCGCGCTGACTTTGTGGCCAAAGATCTCGGTCTTGGTATCGCGGAGATTGGTATCGACGAGCATGCGAGGAATGATTCGATGTCGGTAGAAAGCTTGTCGGTTTGCGAGGTGGGTGTAGGATTGGCCGGCGTTTGACGATGCATAGTACCTGCTTTGGTGAGTTGCTGAAGTAATTTGAGGTGAGGGTTGACATACCAGCCTCCAACTGTTAAAGCCCTCTTAGCCAAATCCTCCAGATCCCCAGGTTCGGTGCTAAATGGTGGCACTTCGCCAGTGTTATCTTTCCAAAAGAGTTCCCTCTGATATAAGCCCCATTGAGGAGTGTTTCTTTCTTTGATGTTAGGATTCTTGGGGTCTGACATGTTTTGAAAGTAGACAATTGTCTAGAAAGAGATACAGGAGAAGGTAGATGTGTCAATTGTCATATAGTAGATAATCGGGAAGAGAGCTGATACTTGTACCTTTATATATCCTCGTAATGATCTCATCGTCGTGACTAAGAGCTGGAGGCAGTGAAGAGGAATGGCTGGTGACGTGACCGACATTCGGAGTCTAAGAGTCGCGCTTCTGTCAAGACGCGGCAGATCCAAACAGGAAACAAGACCCGACCAGATGATCGGGAAGGGAATCGACATTTGAAGTTGCTGACCGTCTTTCGAAGTTCTTCATTGGGAGAAGAACGTCGACAATTCAATGTCAGAAAGCGAGGTATCCCCGAGGCACGTGATTTGGATCGGGAAATCCGGGGGAGGCTCTCCCTGGGGAGGCTTGGCAAATGCTTGTCTCTTCTCTGACACATACTTCACAGATCTCTAGCAGTCTTCTTAAGAACTCGCAGTTGTTTTCTTGCTCTGACATCACCATTCTGAAGTGCAGAATGACAGCCCTCGAGTCGATTGTTAAGAGCCAATCTTTCCTGTCCTGCTGCCAACGTGCCTTCTTATGTTCGAGTATCCCACTTCTTGCGAGATCTCTGGGTGATGGCCGCAATCGATTACGCACCACTTTGCGGCTGCTAGGGAAACCCCCTGTGCCCGTCGAAATCTCTTGTTTTTGCACATCTTCCCCTCTTCTTGTTTCATTGGAGGCTCAATGCTCTGTTCCGTGATTTTGCAGCTTACGGCTTATCCGCAAGCAGAAGCTCAACTCTGTCAAGCTTGTGTCACCTCTGCGCTGACCCAGGGTTACAGTAAGGGCTCCGTATTCATTAAAGGTCCGCAGGGGTAGCTCCCCACGTCAACCAAGGAATGAATCGAGCCCGCCCTATTGCTGCATAGAAATGCACGTGCTGACGTTGATACCGACTTTTTGGATCTCTAGTGAATATAAATGGTGCCTATACCCTCCAAGCTGCAGGTTCACTAAATCTTTGAGCATCTGTCAACATCAACTTCGCAAGTATGCGTCTTGATTCAGCTATCGTCTTTGCTTCACTCTTACCTTCTGTCACAGCTCATGCTGGCCACAAGAAGCGTTCCATTTCGTCCAGTCCACAAGCACTAAATCCTAATCTCACAAATACTATTCCCAATGCTCCAGGTGGCCCGACTCTTTACTACAACGGCAGTGGTCCAGTGCCTCCGTACAATGAGACATCACCAATCCCGGCAGCGCTTCCGGCACTGACGTGAGTCTTGTCTCCTTTCACAAGCCTGGTTGATGCTGAATTCCTTAGTACACAGGAGATTGAAGACAATATTTTTAATGAGCTCGAGGGCATTGCTGCTGGCAACGGTCTTACAAGCAGCTGCTCTAAATGTATTGCTGGAACTGAGGTCATGCACATTGCTGCAATCACTCAACCAGTCAGCACAATCGTCAATCTTTTGATCCGTTCCTGCGAGACTTTCACCGAGGTTTATGACAGCATCTATGCAGCTACTTGCTATGAAGAGTACTCTGGTATCGGTGGAACGGGCCCTTATCTGGCACAGCTCTTCGCGAAGATGAGCATGGCAACGAACGACATGCAAGGATATTGCTACTACAACTGGGAAGTTTGTGATCAGCCTGCCACAATCGCAATCAACGAAACTGCCTACTTCAAACCCAAGCTAGCCAATAGAACGACAGCACCAACACCATCCGGTAAGTCTCACGTTTTGATAGGAATCCACGTGACGTACTTTCCCTTGAATATTCTGACACTCAAACAGGCACGACCATCGACGTCCTGCACCTCTCTGATTGGCATCTCGATCCAAGATATGATATTGGAAGCGAAGCAAACTGTAGTGACTATCTTTGCTGTCGCCCATACTCCGTCAACGATGATCTCGGCACGACTTCCGCCAATGCATCTGTCCCAGCTTCAAGATTCGGTTATTTGTACTGTGATTCTCCACCAGATCTGGCTCTCTCGGCATTCTCGACAATGGACCAATTCGTGAACAGATCAAGTATCAACTTCACCATCTTCACTGGGGACATTGTTAGCCATGATAATGATGACCAGCTTAGTCGAGCTTATGTTGAGTATGAGGAAACCGTCACATACCAGACATTCAAGGCGCAAATGGGAAACAGTCCTATCTACCCAACTCTTGGAAATCATGACTCTCTCCCCGAAGCATGGAATACCCCGAATTCAATCACCAATCAGTCGAACATATTTTCGTGGAACTACGAGCTTTTGTCAAGCATGTGGGAAGCAGATGGATGGATCTCCAAAACCACTGCCCAATATGCCGCCACACATTATGGCGCATACGCAACCACAACTTCTTTCGGCCTGAACATCATTTCCATCAATACCGATTTCTGGTACACGGACAACATCTTCAACTACTACAACATGACCAACCCAGACAACTCAGGTATCCTGACATTCCTTGCGGACGAACTTCAAAAGTCAGAGGACATGAATCAACGAGTCTGGATCATTGGTCACGTTCTCCCTGGCTACGACGGTTCCAACGCCCTCCCTAACCCCACCGCATTATTTTACAGCATAGTGCGACGCTTTTCACCTTCCACCATTGCTGGTATCTTCTTCGGTCACACGCATGAAGATCAATTAATGATATACTACGACTACCTCTTCAACTCCACCATCTCCAACAACTCGTCATCCATAATTCGCAACACGACACTAGTCGATTACAGTCAGCCCCTCAACGTAGCCTACATCGGCCCCTCCATCACCCCCTTAACAGGAAACAACGCAGGCTGGGTACTGCTCCAAATCGACGCCGTCACCTTCTCCGTCGTCAACTCACAAACTTATTTCGCCAACATGTCCGAGTCCAACAGCTGGAGCACGCCAGTCTGGCAATTCGAATACGACACTCGCTCCATCTACGACCCGAACAACACCTGGCTGTCGGCATCTCCTCTTAATGGAGAGTTCTGGCATGGCGTTACGGAGAACATGTTGGAGAACAATACGATTGTGGAGGTTTATAACCTGCTGGAGACGAAGAGTAGTGTTGTTACGGAGAATTGTAGTACGGTTGCTTGTGCGGAGCAGAAGGTGTGTTATATTAGGAGTGGGAGTGCGGCGTTGGGGTATGCTTGTCCGCAGGATAGTGGGCCTTTCTGATTTTTAGATCTGAATCAATACGGAAGTTACATCGTGAATCAGTGTTCAGGACTGTTTCTGTGAATGTGATTTTCTGCTTTGAAGTTTGATTTATTTTTAATTGCACAGGAAGACATCTAGGGCCTGGTGCAATCTCTGGGAATGATTCAGTAATCAACTGCTTGGAATTATCTATAAATTGAGCAGTTGTTCTATTCCTACGCTCTTTCTTTCCTTCATCACACCAGCAATCCATACAAGCTCGAGCTGTTGGCCCTATTGCTATTCGCAACCAATTACAGCGTGCCAAAAAAATCCAAAGCAACTCTCCCTCGCAGAATATTCTCAACAAGACCTCAGTACAAAATCCGAACGCTCCACCCAAACCTCCTCTCACTAACACATACACTGCTCGCCATGCATCACACCTCCCGCCATGGTTCCAAGCCGTCTATATATCTCTCACCTCCTCCACAAGATCCATCAACTAGCAACGACGTGTGTGATGAGTGTCTCAAACCCTTCTCGTCCTCAGAAGATCGATCGACCAACGCTTGCAGAAGGAATCATGGAACTTCAACTCCCTTTACAGAATCATCATCTTCCTCCCAAAATACATTAGATAATACATCTCATACCTGTGCGGACCACCGCGCAAGTCGAGGAGGATCCACAGGATATCTTCGCCCTGAATTTCCTGTTCAACATGCTGACTTCTCTCAGCTTGCGATTCGAACAAACCAAGATGCAGCAGAAGCAGGTTTTAACAAAGCTGGTGAGAGAAGAGGAAAAATGGATGACGGTTCATCGGAAGCGCAGGACGACTGGCCCACCCAGCGATGAAACTCAACGAAATCAGGACAAAGATAGACTTCGAGAGAAGAATGAGTCAACAGGTTATAATAAGGCAGGCAATTGGTGGGTAAATAAAAGTTGAGGAATAATTCTTTGAGTTGACGTTGGGAGACTTTTTGCGATTATTTGAGGCATAGGTTCGAAAATCAGTGGGCTGATTGTTCAATGGCCAGAGCTCAGTATTGTTTTGCTTTCATGACATTGCTTTTTTTTTACGATAACATGGATGATTTGGAGATGGTTTTCAAGCAGTGGGCGTTCGAGTTGCGATGATTCCAGTGACTGGATCATAGATAATTTTCTATGAATGCGATGATTTACATAACAATTCCTGCAATCCATCTTAACATTCCATTTCTATGAGATTTCTCCAATAAACTGAGATTCTGACATACGAGGCCTTAAGGCAAGAACAGTTATGGTATTTCTCTCAAACAGATAGATCACAGATCACGTTTCTAATGAATCACCTTCGAGCAGAAGGGAGAATCTCAGCAGCGTGGGAACGCAAAAGCACTGAGCTCGTAAATTTTTTTGGGCAATCGACGATACACTAAAGCGTAATACCTGTGCTAACACATACGATACCAACGCTCAAACCGGCACAAAGCCAACCTTGACGTCATTCCTACTCTCCCTCGTGAAAGCAATCCTATCAACATATTCATAACACTCGTTTCGATTTTCCAAACCCTTGAATCGCTGCATAAGCCTAACCATGATGCACGCCACATCAGTGAGTACGTTTTGCTGAGCAGGGCAAATTCGTCGTCCTCCCATGAAGGGGATGTAATTCCAGCTTTGTTTGAGATTCTCCCAGCGCTCCGGCTTGAATTCTTCAGCGTCTTTGCCCCAGATATCGGGATCGACGTGTAGGGGTGCGAATGACATGCGAACTTGGTCGCCAGCTTGGAGGAGGATTGGTTCTTTGCCTGAGGCGCCGCCACCATGAGGGAGGATACAGGGTGCTAGGCACGTTTTCCAACTTCCGCCTGCTGGAGAGTGCAATCGCAAGGCTTTGCAAATTGTGTAAGCATCATGGTATGAAGCTGAAGGACAGTCATGAAGCTGGAAGAAAACCAGACTTACTTTCATTCATTACTGCTTGCATATACTTCATCGACTTCAGGAGCTCGAAAGTCAACTTCTGCTTTCCGATGCCAAGAACTTCTGCTCGAAGTTTGTCCCACTTATTTGGGTATCTAGCAAGCAAGAAGATTATGTTGCTGAGGAAAATCGCTGATGAATCATGAGCTGGGAAAAAGACATTCATGAGCTCGTTTCGGATAGCACGTCGATCGTCTGTCGTTCTCACCATTTCCTTCAATAGAACATAACTATAGGGGCCCGCAGAGTCTATGTTAGTCCCAAACTTTTGTAGCTCGATCTCTTCGTCAATAAATCCATCAATAATGTCGTGGACTTCCTTGCATTGAGCCAAGAACTTCTTTTTCGACCCAGCCATGAAACTGAACTTTCCCATCATGTACCTTGTGAACATACTAACCAGAGCCTCGTCGAAGATCCCAGGCAAGCGTCTTGCAATCGGACTATCCGTCTCCGGTGACAAAGAATTCGCCGATTTTCCAAACACGAATTCGGTAGAGCTATCCAAAAAGAGTTGTTTGCACAGAGGTTGCATATCAATAGTTCCTCCATCTTTAGGAATTTTTTCCATCATTCTGCTCAATTGCTTCTCGAAACTCGAAAGCTCGGAGACTTGCGCACGCGCAAAAACGGGATTAATCATCTGCCTCGATTTCTTCCACAGATGGCCATCGACCGTCATGACGCCGTCCCCTAGAAAGTCGCCACACATCTTTCTATTCATCGGCTCGTTGCCGAATTTATCGACTTGCGTCGCTAGAATTGTCTGGATATTCACCGGGTCCGAAATAACGTATTGTTTGATTCCCCAAGCATTAGTTTGCACGGTTTTCCCGTATTTCTTGAGGAGGTTGCGATCTGTGGCAACAGAATCGCCGGCTCTCATGTCTGAGAGACGTTGGTAGAATAGGTCTAGAGCAAGGAAGGGGTCCCAGTGGAAGTATTTTATGGGAATTGAGCAGCCGGCTTTCTTGGCGGCGATGCGATAGAGGATATCGTTTATGAGCCAGTAGAGGACGGCCAGGAACATACAGAGAGCCATGGCTGAGAAGATCATAGTTACATGGGATTTGAGGTCGAGCATTTTGGTGGACGAACAGTATGTACGTAGGGCTTGGGAAAAGTGACGAGACATACTGAGTTGCCTTGAACGCGCTGAAAATAAGATGAAGAATATGTGTGTTGTTCCCTTGCGACTGACTGAGTTCTTTCGGATGAGCGCCGCAGATACTGTTTTGTTGATGACGAGAAACGGGGAGGGAAAGAAAGTTCTCGAAAAATTTGGGGTAATACTTGCTGTTGTATTGTATTTAACCTCCGCCAATCAACCTACCAACACTGTCAATGTTGTAACTTTTTTTTTAAATACCAACGTTGGCTTACTCTGGTTTGCTTCATTGGTGTGATGTACCCCGCACAGAAGAATACCCGGTTGGACAATGGTTCTTCAATATGACCTTACCGAGAACACCTGCAACTGCCTTTAGAAATTAGAGTAGTCATGTTTAGTACTGTACTTAAACAATCCATGGCTGGCATCCTTGGTATGACTTTGGTACATCATATAACAATCACAGTCCTGACCCAATGTTGTGATTCACGTCCTAAGTGCTGAGCCACATTGTCTGCTTTTCAAAATAGCAGTTGTAACTCTTGCTTTTCACATCATAGCTAGAGGTAAATTGTTAAAAAGAGTACTCGCCACATCCCTTGAGGTTGGCAAGAATAGTTCAGAACTACTCCGATTGAGGCTGCACTCAAGAAAATAGCCCATTTGTGAATCTCAGGCTACGACTGGATATGACAACCGTATTAATTGTTTTCTAAAATATATCTTTATAAGCAAAAAGAAAAGCAGGAAATGATTTAGCAGATCATACTAGTATCTAATTTTAAAATTATTATAGTTCAGAAAATTACAAAGTTATGGGTAGTCTAATTCACGAAACAACAAAACACAAGGCAAGGGTATGTAAATTTATATACCTTGTTCAATGCCACTTTGGTTGGGAGAGGCTTGGGGAACCATTTCTGAAGAAGCTTAGTTCCTTATTCCAGACAATTACATTAGAAAACAATTGATATGGTATCGGGTATCATGTTTTGATTCAAGAACCCGACCTTCAGAAAAGCTTGTTCTGATTCAAGCTTCTATTTCAGACTTGGTTCGAACAAGCAGTCTAGGTATCAGAGAACCATGTTATTCACGGTCGGCCGCTGATCGTGCCCATAAAAGACTCCGCTCCACCTCTCTAAAGTTTACATCCTCCATCTCTCCACGCTTGATTTGTCTCTGGCACATCAATATCAAAGCCCAATTAAGAACTCAACAATAACTACATGGCTTCACCAAACCTTGTGCGAAATTACAAAACACTCAGCCCCGATTCACCTTCGATTTTGCAGCCTCTGGAATCATTTCACCAGTTTCCAAAGCTTCCGAATGAACTTCGAGATATCATTTGGAATTACGCTCTGACGCCACAACTCGTAAAGCTACGCGAAGTCTTCGTGGACATTCCTAGAGCCGCCGAGACAGTACACAAAGCAGTAACATTTATAAAGACAAGCAAGAACCATGCTCTCTTATGCACGTGCCAAGCTTCTCACGCGGTCGCTCCGAAGAAGTACGGCCAATACAAAATGACTACGCTAGAGCCTAGGAGGCCTTCGAAAGAAGAAATTCAAGCAGCCCAGGAGCTAGCTTCAACAATTTACTTTGCACCGCTAGTGGATACTATGTATCTCCCAAGATTCCATGATATCTTTAACTTAGTTTCAGCAGTCGATATCACAGAGAAGAACTTTGAAGGCCCACCACAAAGCCTGAGTCAGATACGCTCCTTGGCGTTGGGAGGCCGTAACCCCTCACCACTCAAGCACAACAACAGTACAACACCTTTTGACTGTAGCGAGGCCAACTTTGACGACGATGATTCAGTGCGTGGTGTCATGCTTGCGAAAGAACTTTTCGATCTTCAAAATCTTGAAGAAGTCATTATCGTCACTCCACCGGCAAACGGCCTCGCCAGCCCACGAAATGACGACTCATTGGATTTCACTGGTGGTGCAATAATTGACCCCAAAGTCTACAACAAGTGCATCAAGTGGATGCAAGTCGAACTCCAGAAAGAGCTTAATAAGAAATTCAAACATGAACAGCACTGTGAAATATGCAACCATCATAATTCCTCGAGAAACCTTCCAATACGCTCAGCTTGGTGGAAAGATCCAAAAGTTACACCAATGTCTAGAGAAGAGTTCCGTGCTCGCTTCGGTCAAGGTAAGATCTTCCGCTATGAACAGTCCTCAAGCATATTTCTGACTTGAGCTTTTAGATCCATGAAACTGGATACAACAAGAGGCAGAAACAACTCGAATTAAACGTAGTGCAGAGTGGGAGCGGTGGCTGGTTTTTTATTGGAAAAAAGAACAAACGGAATTTTGGTGAAAGCCTGTATGGGATTGATCAACAGGTTGCCTTCCAATTTTCAACTAGCCATGGCGTTAGAAACAGATGAACAGAATGGTAAGTGCAAATGTGAAGATATGACACAGTACGCCATATTTGCTGCAATATTGTAGCTAGACCTCTGAACAGTGTCAAAGTAAGGCGTTGTCAAACCATAAGCACCGAAAAGTAAGGAAAGTGGCATACGCTCTCTAGGCTTCGGGTTGGCTCAAGGACCGAGGGCGTTGGCCTAGGATGCCCCAGATACCGATTAACCAAAGCCGAATCCGGTGATCTACTTGTCGGCCGGCGAGATCAGTCGGTGGGTTCTACCATGACGCCCTGGACAAAATAAGGGTGTAGAGTATCCATGTTTAATTGGTCGGCCTCTCCTGAGCCTCACCGCCAATCAGGAAGTCATTCTGTGTTTCTTTTTCTCTGGCTTGCTGTCAAGTGCAACATTTGCAATAGTATTACCATCTCCTGATTCTCTTCGCCCCTGTGAGAAGTAGCGGTTCCAGCCCTGAGCAAAAGGTAAATCACTGTTCGTTACAGTCCTATAATGAATGGACCACATTGAGCAGCGTAGTTGGTACAGTCGCTTATGCAATGTCCAGGAGAGTTTCATGCTTTAAGTAGGCGAGAAGCTCCTGCGAAAGACGACACAACGAGATTACAATAAGGTGTTGGATACGAAGGTAAACAAGTGTGGATTGGATCGTTCTGTTTTTCCAAAAGGGGCAGGTGAGAAGATCGCGTTCGGCAGCCGCATCTCCAGCCCCCAGCGTCACGCCCACTCAAAGGGTCGCAAGGTTTTTGTGGTGTGGTGTCGAAGACGCCACAATATTGACAACCGCTGCAGGATTCTTCCCGAGTGATGGGTTCCGGGAGCAGAGCCTCACCAGCCTCGTCGCAACTCAAAATAGTTCCTTTTCCGGAAGAGATGATGCGACAGCTTTTGCTCAAAGTCATCGACTGTTGATATGGCACCTTCGGAAGAAGGGGAAGAAGAAACATACTCGGCAGACGAAGCCGCAAAGCCAATTCGTGCTTTTCAATCTCCAAGAGGCGGAGGATTTGAATCTGGAGGACCGTCGCACCAAATAGCACCTCAGACACGGCTCAAGGACATTGCGCAAAAGATCAGACGGAAGCAGAACACCTACGTCTACAAAGATATTAACTTCAGTGAAGATATCCGCATACTGCGAATTCTGCATGGCAAAAAAGGAGATCCTCTTCAATGTCTCCTATTTCCCAGCGCTCTTCCATCTTCAAGAAAGATTCCATGCCGGTCGACCTCGCAATGTCATCGGTACCGCGCACTTTCATACTGCTGGGGAGACCCGAACGAGGAATCGACCAAAGAGTTATTCATATACGAAGATACCGGTAGATACGACGGCCTCCAAAGAATGACTGCATTCAATCACTCATCGAAATTCTACGTCCGGTCGAACTTGTATTCTGCATTGCGACAGTTTCGGAAAGCCAATGAGGACATAAATCTTTGGGTCGATGCCGTGTGCATAAATCAGGACAAGAACGACCCAAAGGCTTTGATAGAGAAGACGGCGCAGGTCGCACGAATGCACGAGGTATACAGCCAAGCAGATTCGGTTTGGGTCTGGTTGGGAGAAGGCACACCCCAAACAAAGGAGACCTTCCAATTCCTTAAAAGTATTCTGAACCTTAATACCTTCGAAGATCTCATCAAGACAAAGGAGAATCCAGATAAGTGGTATCTTTTGGTACAGTTGATGCGGAATCAGTGGTTCAGCAGGCGTTGGGTGATTCAAGAACTGGCACTCGCTAGAGAAGCCGTTGTCTATTGGGGAACTTCAAAGATGATGTGGCCAGATTTCGCGGATGCCATTGCCCTTGCCATGACAAAATATCAGGAGATCAAAGATATCTTGAAACTGGCGAGGAAAAAATGCTTAATCAGACAAGACGTTGACATTCCAGAACCTCGTGCTCTTGGCGCCAATACACTCGTCAGTGCTAGCAGCAATCTCTTTCGCAGGACCGACGACGGCCATATACAGCAGCACCTAGTTGACTTGGAATTCCTTGTGTCATCTTTATTCCTGCCATTTGAAGCATCAGAGCCGCGAGACACGATATATGCTGTTCTTTCTCTTTCAAGAGATACCACAGCACAAACTGATATGATACACCGTCTTAGCTGGCCTAAGGCACTGCATCCGCCGAATCGCACGATTGGGAGTCTCTTTTCGGCATTGCTCAGCATATTCCATTATTTCCTCGTCCCAACACACCAAGATCAAGCGCCTGCTTTGGAGGAGCATTGCATGGACGATCGTCTGGTCCCCAATTACGGCAAGAGCCTTACTGATGTCTGGGCCGACTTTATGGAGTACTGTATTGAAAGATCCCAATCACTAGACATACTCTGTCGACCTTGGGCTCCTCCACCGCGAGACCTGACTTGGCGCGAAGCTCTGGAGCTTGAAAAGGCCGGTCTGACTCACGAAAAAGAGGAGATCCCGACATGGGTACCAGCAATTGAGCGACATGCCTAGGTCCCACTGGCATTCTTGAAGGCAGAAAGAATGGGGACAGCCTCGTCGGAAGTATTGAGCGCCAAAACCAGCAGCGTTATAACGCTTCTGGGGGGCTTCTTCCATTTGTTACATTTGGACGAATTCAAGATAGCTCGGTCAGCCAGAAGGAAGAAGCCTTCGAAATAAAATCAGCACAACAGAACACGAATGAGACTAGTGCTCTGAAAGGAACTGATGCTCCGTCTGTGCCCATTGAGCTATCGCGGACAGTGTCCAAGAAGTTCGATGGTACATTACATGTCAAAGGATTCAAGATCGATACGGTAGAAAGAGCCACTGGAAGAGTGCTCGATGGAGTGATACCAGTGGAGGGCCTTAAGTTTGGAGGTTGGAGGAAACATCCATCGACAGGCGAATATCCCGACAGAGTTCCAGACATCTTATGGCGCACACTCGTTGCTGATCGAGACCTTGATGGTATGACTGCTCCAACATGGTATCGCCGTGCCTGCCTTGAATGTCTACAGCACACGAACGCAGATGGTGACCTGAACACAAAGGACTTCAAAGACTTGGATGATACTCCGGACACAATGAAAACGTTTCTCAACAGGATGCAAGCAATAACATGGTGCAGACGTTTTTTCTTGACCAAGGGAAAGGAGAACCAAGCTCACAAGTCCAAGCCATGGTATGGCCTAGGTCCGCGAGACCTTGCTGAAGGAGACTTGATATGCATACTGTTCGGCTGTAGTGTTCCAGTAGTGCTGCGAAAAGTAGCTACGACAGAATGCTACAACTTTATTGGAGAGTGTTATGTCCATGGAATGATGGACGGCGAGAGTCTTCCACCCAGGCAACGATTACCTCTCAGCCATCCGTATGCGAATGTGGGTGGATTCACGTTGGTCTGATGTTGGGCTGCAAATGCAGTGGCCGTTTCGTTGGCAATGCATGGATGCCGCACCACATCGGCGAAATGATAGTTATTCCCCATATATGGCCCATCGAATAGATCACTCACACATGGAGGCTGGATTCTCTCCCTAATGACAAATATCGATTCAGTCCTGAACACCAGCCAAGTGATACATCTTCTGTTGGTCAGTAGAATATTGTGCCTAACACAGCCATCCACCGCCTCACTGATATACTTGGCCACTACACCTTCGAAATTATATCTCGTCAACACTGCAGCAGCTTTTATGGTCGCGATTTCGTGTCCGTCTATCAGCTCTTGAATAACAGGATTACGAGTTGAGCACTAAGATGACTTGTTCACCGGAGCCGGACTCGTTTCAGCGCCATTTCAGGTGCCTTTTTAGGTAACCCAAGTCTCAGTAGCGTCTCGCAGATGGTCTTGAAGTTCAGTAAAAGGCTGTGCGATACTTATGAATTGTTTTTACTCACCGAAGGATCGTAATAGGAGCCTAAGGGGCTCAAATGATGCTCTCCTTGAAAGTCAAGGAATGAGCCAAAAATTCTCCCGGTGAGCGGATGAGACGATGGCACCGAAAATGCAGATCCTAGACAGTGGCGCAAATAGTGCAGCCAACTCGTTAAACATCGGGCCATGGGCGGTCTCTATTGGCGCTTTCTTCCCTGTGAGACAAGACGAGGCTCGCCCATCTTGACACCCAAGCCTGATTAATAACATCCCTCTTCAGCGCTCCTTGCGCCCGTTTCTCAAAATCGCGAGTGTCTTGACCTCGAGGCTCGAAAGCGTTCCCGCTGCACGAATCCATTATTTCTGCAACAACACTATTCGTAACGCAGATCGTCCAATTCGACATGGAAAACATCCGACACGACCCAAATTATATCCGCATAGAGTTTCCTCTCGGCGCGCAGAAGTCTAAATGCAATCCAACACCTCAACAGAGAGCAGTTTACAATTTCCACGAAGCGCGGCGCAGCAATGAAGCCTTGGATATATACGCATCTACATGGTTCGAGAGAACAGAAAACTTCCTGGAGCATGCACGTCCTACTGCACAAAGTACAGTGTTAAAGGATTGGGATATGATTAGAGATCTTGACTTTGGGGAATTCTATCTTGCTCATCCAATCGCAGGCTATTCCTTATGGCAGTTTATCCATGCGTGTGACGAACTTGATGCAACCGTCTCTGGTTCATCGAAAATTGAATCTTTGTTGGGGCTCAAGCCATTCCAGTTCTTGGAGAATAGTGAAAGGCAAGAGATATGGCGGAAGTCTTTAGATCATGTGAAGAAAGAGGTTGAGGGTGGAAGTCGTCGTGGAGAATATCTCCTCCAGAAATTACACTTGATCTTTAACGACCTGGAGAAGCTGGACAGTGCTTTCCAACCGCTCCACGAAACCTTTCTTGGCAACCTCGAGGGCAAGTATCTTGCAGACCGTATGATGAAAACGATTTGTACAGCCTACGATTGGAGGCGTCAGATGATTGCCAATCTTTCTCTCATCGACGACCCCGCAGACGTTGCGCACAGCAGTTATGAGCTGTCAGAAACTGAAGATCTTAGTATGTACTCTTGATAGCCCTCGGTAATCGTCTAACAATTGTATAGCCAGTTCAAGGGCACAGAAGTTGGAGATAAGGGGAACATCACGCCATCGCCCGAAGTCTCAAATGAAGAAGAAGCGTGCTAATCGGCGGAAAACTCGTACTTAATTCCACAAATTCTGTGACAACTTGCACTGACTAATATTTTAGAATCGAGAGTAGTTAACTCGCCAATGACAAGTTCTCGTGCATCTACGACAGTCATTTCTGGCTTCTCCGTCTGGCCGTTGCTTGTTCTCGTAATCGCTCTAGCTCTATACATGTACATGTACATTTTGTAATAAGCAAAAGGTCGCGCATTTCAGACAGTGGTGGACTCCATTTCATGTCATAAATTGAGAGCCGTGGAAACGGAGGTGTGTTTCCCATTCGTTAGAATTGTTGTCGAAGGCGGCTGCTAACTCGGTTTTCTTCACTCAGAGTGCAGAGTGTTGCTGCTGGTTCATAGCATCGGCTTAAGATGTTCACAATCAAGACCCTGTACCTCCTTCTGAAAATGAAAGGTCAACAGTCTTTGAAGCTCCTACATTTACCTTATCAAGTTTGAAATCTTCGAAGATTTGGGAAAACGGCTTGAAGATATCTCTGATCATACTTCTGGAAGAAATGAGTTTCTTCTCACAAGTTTGTTATTCTGATAACTCACTACTCCAGATAGATGATGTTTTGAGTAGTTTCTGTATGTCTTATTTTCAAGCGCTACTGGTAAGCCATACCTTGCTATCCAGGCAATTATAACATGAGTAATGCAAATTCTTCGAGGGTCTGTATGCGGCATGTGTTCAAGGTTCTCAGGGTGTCCAATGCGGAGAGGATCGGAGAGATATTTCTCCCTAGCTTAGCATGCATCGGACTTATCACTCGGAGGTAGTACCCGAGTATTGACATGATTGTTCTCAGGAGCCAGTGCCTTTCCAGCTAAGTGTGTTTGTTTCTATCTTCTCCTTCATTTCGGAATTACCGGAGATAGCCTCAACATTGAAAGTTTAAAGCCAGTCCAAACCCATTGAAAAGTAAACACAACAGATCATCATTCTCCCATTTGAATATCATTTATTACGCATACTTATTGCGCGAACGAAAATGAGCAGCTCAAACAAGCTCAAAATCATCATAGTCGGTTCAGGCCTAGCTGTGTTGGCTGTAGCACGTATCCTCCGAGATCATCACCAAGCCACTGTATATGAACGTGGTGATGAGGCAGTTGCAACCGGCGGACAAGGAATCATCCTTGCCTCTAATGGCGTCAAAATCGTAATCAATCATTTCTTTAGTGCCTCATTTTATTCCGCCACGCCTCACTGACTTCTTGAAGCTCCGAACTATAGGCTATGATAGTACTCGTGCAGGTGCAGTTCCTATTCTTGGGATACGAACTTACGACAAAGAAGGAAATGTATTAGAAGATGCTGATATGGATCTGGAGGCTCGATTTGGTGAAGAGTGCTTAGCTCAAAAGAGATCTGATTTCAGGGATGAGCTTCTACGACTTGCAACTGCCCCTTCAGCCGAGCTTGATATCGAGGGTGATCCGGCGGAGATGGTGTTTAGCACTCAGGTGGTAGACTTGGAACCCGAAGAGGGAGTTGTTACTCTCAGTGATGGATCAACAGCTGCGGCAGATGTCGTAATCGGTGAGTATCATCCGGTGATAACCAGTGGAGAGAGACTTACTCGAGTCCAGTTGCGGATGGCGTACATTCCCGCCTTCGCAACAGAATCCTCGGCAGCAACGGGTATACCGCCAAGAAAGTGGGACTTACTTGCTACCGTGTAGCGATCTCGGTTGAAGATGCTAAGAGAGCATTGGATGGTGTCCCTCTTCCACATTGGTGGGAGCCTAGCACTTGCAAGAATCGCTCATCACTTTTGATGTCCAACGATTGCTCTTTCAGAGTTGTGACCTGCTACCCAATTCGGTATCATACATACTTCAACCTTTCTATCATTAAGCTTCAAGGTGTTGAAGTGTTGATGCTGCTGGGACCAACGTATCATCACAAGAAAGCACAAGAAGTTCAAATGAACAAGATGAGAAAGCGAAATCAAGAGGATCAGAGGAGGAAGGATGTGGAATCTTATTGCTGCATCTATGGTGCAAGACACCGTCTTCATTCACAACACCTTCACCTGCAGTATGTTCCGGCTCTAAGTCGTGAAGCAAGTTAGCACTTTTCATTAAAGCTGGATATTGAAAACTGACCTGAGACGTACTCAAACATGCCGATGAGAAGCGTCAGTAACATGAGATAAGCTGGGATTGCAAGGTAGGATATACTGACCAAAGTCACTGTACAGGATCGGGTACGCCTTAGAGCGGAGCACTCACCGGGACCAGTGAGGCTGACCTGGCAGTATCATGGGGACTCAATCAAATCATAGTCGTATGCAGATGAGTATGTAGAGGAGAGTGTTAAGCAAGGTTCAACAGATCCAGATTGGGAGTGACAAGACCTACCAAAATGTAATAATGCAATGTGTATGTCCAGAGAGCAGTCAGCAATATAGAAGGGGAACAGATGGAAATGAAGCGATTGATAAGACTGACCAAGAGATGCACTGCATAATCCTGCGAGGATTTGCTCATGAGAGCAGTTAGTAAGATCATCCAGGTTGGATCCTAAGACTATGGAAACTGACCAAGGTATAGCACGAAGGAAGGTTCGTTCTGAACGCGCGCATCAGAGCGGCGAACGTCACGCAACAGATGAATAAAAGATAACCTTCCCATATTACTGGGTTCGTTCTGGTACTGGCTTCGCTGTCCACTTGGACAACTACTAACGCCCATCGCCAACGAGAAGGCTCCAGAATCTCGATGAGCGTCTACCCGCCGACTGGTAGATGGCTTGCAAGAGGACCCATTATTAAGAGGGGTTTGTTCCAATTGCGCCCAGCCTCGAGGCAAACAAAAGAAAAAGCAGTGGTCAGAGGTATTCTGTCGCTACCATGATCGGTGCATTGCCTAGGCCGAACCAGTAACACTTGACCAGGAACCGCGGGTACATGTAGTCGTTGCCATAATCGGAGTTTACCTAGGCCGAACCTACATGCAGGTGGCTAACCTGTCGCTAAGTTCACGCTGCAAACACACAAGGACAAAGCGGTGCAGTTTCCTGTCGCAGAGCCTATCCGCCGTGAGGCGTTAGTTCAGAGAGAAACAGAATGTCGTTTGCCATAATCGGAGTTCACCTAGGCCGAACCAAACCGAACTCTACGGGCCGCTGAGAGTGAATTAGCAAGCGAACAACTCTCGGCAGCCACAGGAAGAACTCACTATCGGATGACAAGTCCGGGCTGCCCGGGGTCGTCTCTCTCTCGGAATCAAACCAGAGAGGTCAAGAACACCCGGGCATTCTTCTTCGTGGGATGGCAACCCTAGGAAAAAGTGACCAACACCTCAGAGAGGCGGATACGAACTGCAAGCCGACAAAGGGGGCTATGTTCTGGAACACCAACGTGCAAGCACGACGAGTTTTGCAGTGACCGGTGAACTGCGACGTGCGTCGAAACGAGAAGACAGAGCTTGCAGTGTTAGACTAGGAGGCTTGATGCGTGGCCCAACGGACAAGTCCGATTTCTTTACGGTACCAGCGGCCTGACGACATGCGTACTATCTTTCGTCTATCTTCCAAGATGAACTTGCGCACTCCCCACTGTCCGCACTCACAGACATATTGTGACTGAAGAAACAGACAAGCAGCCCAACGTGCAAGCACGACGAGTTTTACAGTGCTGCAGAGAGTCTGACCTTGCAACCGTGAGCTATGGAAAAACGACGTCAGCAAAACTTCTGAAGGAAAAATGCTGTGCTGTGAAATGCAAAGCGACGAAGAAGATTCGCCATCGTGAAGCCGTTGTTCAGTACAGATTCCAAGGCTAACAACTCGCAGCCTAAGGAATCGAAACTATGAAAGTGGTTAAAAACACTTCAACTAAGTGTGAAAGCTAGGAAATGAGCTATCACCAAGTCATAAATGAAGATTGGGGAAGTCAACTACGTGCTCCAAGCAATGTCAACTGAAAACTGGCATTGAACAAATTGTAGGTATTGTCTGAAGGCACAGATCAAATCAAGAGGCACGATTTGCGGTTGGGCAAAACTGAGATGTGCAACAAGATTCTATAGCTCTCAGGAAGCCGTTTAAGGTTGTGTGCCGCGGCGCTAAGGCTAAGCGAGATAATAGGGGGAACTCTGTTTTGAGCCTCAGAAAAGGCAGGAGCACGGAGCACTCCTGACATCTCCAAAACGTCACTCAATGCCAGAAGGTTCGAGGGTATCATACTGATGACCTTATCGCTCCTGTGACTTAGAGTGCGCACAAACAAGAAAAGCTGTAAATTAGAAATGAAGCCCCCACAAGCAGAAGTCGAAAGCCCTCGAGATGGAATTCGCAAGTTTTCAGCACAGGATGAAAATTGCCATGCGAAACAGGCATATAAAGCAACGCAGGCAGAGTATGATGTTGGGAGAGGGGCTTCGGCTTTACTTACATTCTCTTGGAAGAGGTGTTCCTAAGCGCATGCTCGGAATATGCATTACCAACACAAGACAGTCGCAGCACAGAAGTGAAATCAATTACAATGGGACAATGATGGTGATGAGGAATTCAAGTGTAGAATGGAGGCAAATCATAATAGAGGGGATGACTATAAGAAAGGAGTAGACTTACTTTGCATGTGCTGGAGTTTTAATCGTTCGTAATATGCACTGCGATCAAGAGCTGCGTTGCAAAAATGGGCATTTTACTGCAGACTCTTGATGAAGAGAAGAGAAGAGAGAAATCGAGAAATCTGGAGGGAAATCCAGCTTCTTATACCTTGAGATGAACATGTGTCCTATTGCTTAGCCTCGACCCCAATTACTCGGAGAAGGTTCTCGTTATCAGTTTCTGAGTCACGTCGATGCTGAAATTGGTGCTAAAACCGGTAAGTTTTAGAGTTCCAAAGTTGACTTCGTGCTAAGTGGTCCCTTTCAAGCACGCTGTCTCAAGTTGACAAAATGACATTTGCTTTAAGTTCACCTCAGAACTGGCATGTTTATTCCCACCAATGGAACTTTCGGATTTCTTACGACTTCTTGGGGAAACGAGACATCTTCTTGCAGAGGTGGTGACACGACGAGTCCCGTAAAGGAGTTGGCTCTTTCAAGATCGAGTTTTCTGCCCTACTCCTTCTATCTATGTTTCTCTGCTGAACACTTACGATGAAACGTTTTCCTCCACACAGACCATATTCTAACTTGTTATAAGACAGCTCTTTCAAGATTATTATAGCCGGGATATCAACCAAACAAGTGTCTATTCCACCTTCAACTCATGAAGCGTTACGGCCGTCGTAGCCTTTGCCAACTCACCTTCAATCATTTCACTCTCAACGAATTTATTCTCACTTTCACCTGATATGCTAAATGTTCCCTAGTAAGTGTGCGTGCTCTCTTGGCGCTGAATAAAGTTCAACCACCCCACATCGCAACTCTAGCTTCCCGTCACCATAAGACTTGGGAGCAGAACATTGAAGTGCTCGGAATAGTGTTACGTGGCCACGATTTCCATTCTACATTAAAGTAGGTGTAATTGACGAAAGTATATTTTGCATCCGCAGATTGCTCCCTCAAGTGAGGTAACTGGCATTGCTCCTGGTCGCTTGGTCTAGGAGACTAGACCCTTGATGTCTGTCTCCGCCGCTTAGCGCGCACACTTTACGAACATGGGGACAAAAGTCCGTGCGTTCAGGGCATCAGAATCATGAATTTTATTAATTAATTAGCTGTAGACCAGCCACATCGCTTAATTAAG